AATAAATTTTAGAGAATGTTTTTGCACATGCATCTGAGAATGAAAATTTGTTGAAATTCATCAAATTTCTCGATTGAGTTTTATTTCAAAGCCAAATGGCAATATATAGAGAGCCAAATTATTGTTTTAGCGAATGTTTTTGGCATATGCATATGAAAATAAAAATGGACAAAATCGATCAAAAAATCTGTGTTCAATTTTCAATTTTATTTTGCATATGAAAATAAAAATTGACAAAATTTATCAAATTTCGGTATTTAATTTTATTTCAAAGCCAAATGGCAATGTAAAAAGCTGTAGGATAAATTTTTTGTGAATATTTGCTAAATCAAAATTTATTTAAATTTCGGTATTTAAAAAAAAGCCATGGTGTAGCAAATATTCTCAGTGCATGCACAGAAAAATAAGAATATATTGCATCGAAATTAGTTTAAATGTCTGCCTTCTGTTTTATTTCAAAGCCAAATGGCTTCATAAAAAGCCAATAATTAGATAATTAAATTGCATCACATGTCCCTTTGGAGTCCTAAAAACCCTTTAATTTTGTGTTTTCTAAGGATAAAAGAGTAGACGAATTAAAAATAAATTAAAAAAAGGGTTAGAAATTTAAAAAAAGTATTTTAAAATGGTGTGCTTGATTTAATTTTGAAAATAAACACAAGGCTAAGAATTTATGAGTTAATGTCAATGGCTGATTTACGAGACAAAAACATAATTCAATTCATTAACTGATCAATGAAGTAGTGTGCCGTGTATTCAACTCGAAACTCCACAGTTATTTCAAATTTTTTTTTTTATTAGAAATTCCCTTTGGTGAACAACTCCCTTGCCTTTGTTAGCTTGTGATGGTGTTACTAATTATAGCCCAACACATAACCTGAGTTGAGAGAGAAGTTGGACTGCACAGTAAAAGCTTTAATATGTGAGAGAGTGTATTGGGGAGATATATTCACTTTGAGTTGGCTGTTGTATAGCCTCATTTATCAAGCCCACTCTAGTCTATAGTCATTTATCATGTGGAGTGTGAGACTGGATGAAAGAGACTAGCTATTGGGTCGTGTGTGTGGAAGTCTAGATAAGCTAGCCTATTGATTTTCTCATAGTGCTATAGATTACCTTTACTTTAGCTGCTGTTAGCATTACACGCAAGTAGTGAACAGGCAGAAAGTAGTTCCATCTATTAATTATTAAAAATTGTATTTCCTCTCCCGACATGCAACGTTGTTATTAACCGTTTCCAAATATTTATCAAACCCTCTCTTGACTTGCGTTCAACGTCTAAATCATAAGTAAATAGCGCCATGGAGGGATATATTCGGCTTTTTATTGCATCTTCAATTCTAAGGGACTACTTTATGTAAATAATTTCGACTCATAAATAAACTATAATTTAGCCCAGTGATATGCAACACGCTAGCAGAAACTCGCAAGAAATTATATAAAATTTGACAAAACATTTCAATAATTCATATATATTCGTAAATGTGATTTGCGAAGGAAAAGGGGAATCGGGGATATAAAAAGTATAATAATAGCCCACTCCCTCCTCTAGTTAATGTATTTGGCAGACGGTATTAAGGTTGTGAAGGGTTGAAGTTGACACAGCCAGTGATAAATGGGAACAGAGTATTGTTCACACAGGGAGAACTCACTCAGGCAGAATAAAAATAGACTCTTCCATGTACAGGGGTGGCAGCTTGTAGTCATATCAATTAACACCTAAGCCAGTCTCGCAATATTACCACTTTGACATAAACTTTCACTTTATTTTAAACCTGTCACACATATTTAAGAATTTTTACAGCAAATTGAGGGAGATAGAAGGTGAAAATATAGGGGAAGGGGGGAGGATGTGAGTTGGTATGGCCTGTTTGTGCATTGCCTGAGGTATTGAGTGTAGGGTTATACAGAGAAGAAAAGACTGGTCTAGTTGTTAATTCTGTACACTAGTATATTCAGTTTAAAACAACCAGAATCCAGTGAGTACAAAACATCACTATTATATTAATGAACACACTGGATTAATTAGTAGTAACCCAGTGTTAATTAACAGCCAGGTTCAAGCTAAAAGGACCTGTTTTCCTTTGTGAAAATGGACCAGGGCTTTATTTATGAAGCAAGCTAGAGTTAGCCAGCTAACACTACTACTACCTTGTACAGCATTAGTAAGCCAGGCACGTTTGAGTTCAGTTCAAAAACTTGGTTATTTTCACAAAGTTTTTTTTAAAGTTTGGCTTGAGTGAATTTAGTGTTTGAGTGAGGTGATGACATGTTGGATTAATTATTTATTGGAATATAGTGTGTGATTGACTTGTATTTTATTTAAATGTGCTGAGAATTGACCGAGGCTTTGTTCAGTATGGTCGGTCAGGACTCCTACATATAGACCAGAGAATGAGTCCCTTTGTCTGGTAGTGTGGTCAGCTGGCCAGAGCTGTACATATAAAAACAATATTTTGAGAGAGAGAGATGGAATAAATAAATACACAGTTGATTATTAAAGGAATGAGAGAGAATATATATGAAGATATAAAGGAGTTTTTATTTATTAGGGGTCACATGGTGTTGTTTATGAATATGTATGAAGCTATGTACAGTGTGTGTGTATAGAGAGGGAAGTGTATATATAACTATGTTATATACAAACTATCTATATCTCTGTATTTCTCGTCTCTCTGTTGTCACTGTATACTATGACTGTATTTTAATTTAGGACAGGAGGAAGTCAGTGTGATTTATCATATATTTACCATTATTATTAATAGTATAATCTCTTCCATTCTTCATCAGATGTTCCAACTGATAAATATTTATAATCTTTTAAGTTTATTATCGGATGCTTTCAAGAATATTTACCAATATTATTATTACTTCCAGTTATTATCGGTCATTTCAAAGATAGTTCAATATTATTAGTAATATTTATAATCTTTCAATATTTTTTATTCAATGCTTTCAAGAATATTTACTATAATTTCTAATACCGGTATTGACTTCTTTCATGTTGACCAGTATTTCTAATATTCAAATCTTTTAAATTTATTATTTGATGTTTCAAGGATATGGACCATTATTTCAGAAATTAAAATTTTTAAAATTTATTAAATACAGGACACATACCCTCGATGATATTTACCATCGGATTCTGTATACATGTACTATTATAATTATATCAATATTAAAATCTTTTAAATCATCAGATACCTTCAAGGATATTGACGATTATTTCGGTAATTCCAGTCTTTCAAATAAGTTTCATCGATATTTTACTATTTCTGTCTTCGTTAATCCCAGTCAGAGCAAAATAGTGGGATGAATTATTGAAATAAAATTGAACCATATGTTAGACCTCCCGAAATGACTTAGTTGGTGTCTAGTGCCCATTAAGCTCCATTTTTTTGTCTTCGTCTCAAGAAAACCTAATCATGTTCGTTCAACATTCATATCATTTGACATTACAAAAACTTGAATGATATTCACACAGTCATTAAATGCTGAAATAAGTTTCTGTGATCAATAAAATCATAACATATTCAAATTTATTTATTTAATAATTATAGAAGTTACATGATATTACCCCTGTGTAACCAATTCTCACCTGGCTCACCTGGTCTAGTACTACTTATACCTGTATGTTCACAGGTATTGATAAACACATGTTGTTGACAAAAAACCCCCAACCCAAATACAATCAGAAAAACCTGTCGTATATTATAATCCTGTCCACTCGTTCACATGCAGGTGAAAAAAAAAAAAATATCATCTGAAAATCTTTTGTAAATAACACAATATTGATCGACTCAAATATTTCATATTTCCCAAATCCTGGTGGAAATATAGGAATATATTCATAAAACTTGTTGTAAATAACACAATATATCAACCCAAATATTTCATATTTCCTAAATCCTGGTGGAAATATAAGAATAGATTCGTAAAACTTGTTGTAAATAACACTACATTGATTTCAATAAAAATAGCTTATTTATCAAATCCTGTTAACTCAGAAACTTGTATAAAAATATAATCGCGAAAAACATGTTGTTCACAACACTGTATCAAAACAAATTTAACAAATTACCAAACCCAGACATCTTGGTGACTTACATGTGAAAAAAAAAAATTCTAGAATTTTAAATTTGATGTTCGTAAATGTAGGCTAGATTCTTAGGAAGCCCATCAACGATTCAGTTCTCAAAAAGAAGTCTGTTATGGAAATTTATGGAAGATTTCAATAAGATGACTTACAGAAATTTAAAGTTACGAGAGAAACCATCAAGTTACTATATAGATTGTTTGACATTCGATGACCAATTCTTTTGGTTATAGCAACAGAAACGGCAGAGTGTTGTTTCTTGTCATAGTGTATTAACTATACAGAAGTGCCAATACCTCGTACCTGGTGATAATGAGGACTATATTAAGCAAGCTTGACGTAGAGTTGAAAAAAACCGGTGATATGACTGGTGATATTGACCTTAGAGAAATTATTTCTGAACTTTTGAATAACTTCCGACAAAATGTTTATCATGTTCATAGTACACGATTAGTTGTATTGGTGCTGGAAAAATGCATTTATATTTATAATGTGAACAATAAATTGATTTTAATGATCTCAGCCATTCGAAAGAAACAGGAGACTATTGTAATGGGTTCAACTGTAGGCCATTTGTCCCTCATTCATTTTTTAATATGCGATAGAGTGTTCTAACTTGGTGTATAATGTAATCATTACTCTTTGAGTGGCATTTTACGTTGTGCTTATAGAATAAAACTAGTGATTGTATCCTGTAAAAACTGTGTTCTGTTAATGTTAATCGTTACTGTTGGTTTGTTCAACCAACTATAAACTTAGTGATTGGTATTGTACATGAGGTAGCGTATGCTTACTATTTCTAGAACATCTGATATCACTTATCATTGAGTTTGGAAGTCTACACAGCTAAAGATATCAGTTGTCATTTTGCTTCTTAATCAACTTTTTAAAATCTTCTTTACAGGAAACGAGTAACCCAGACGAAGGGGACAGTCAACAAGATTCTGTCTCATCTACGGGTGCTCATCCCTCATCAGCTTTACGGAGGGTCCCATCACCCGCTGGATCTACTGGGTCAAGGTCAAATACACCAGCCTCGCTACCAGGTAAGTTTAAACTTTCTCGAATCTTCTGTTTTGAAAGTTTGTTTGATGGAGGATAATTGGGTTTGTGACTAGAATTTCTCTGAATTGGGCCGATGAGAACCCTTAGGATTTGTTCTACCTGCATCCCAGTTGACAAAGTTTCTTGGTACCCTAAAATCTAGTACGTGACAAGGAGTATAAGCGAATTATTGAAATAAAATTAAACCATATGTTAGTCCCGAAATGACCTTGTTTGTGTCGAGTGGACGTTAAACTCCATTTCTCTCTCTCTCCCTTAAATCTATCTGTAAAAAGCACATTTTTGCCTTTGGATGTTTTTCTATCATTTCTAATCACTCTCTGTTCGACACCAATACATAGTTTCCTACAAGGGTCCACTAAAACCTAGATATCTGCGTGCACATTTGTAAAGAATCCCAGACAGTAGGAATTCAAAGAGTAGGTGGAAAAATCACTACCAGGTCAGTATGGTCTGCTCTTGATAGACCACAGTAAATATTCTAGAGGATTTGGGTTAGGATGCAGTTAAGAGTTGTCTCCCCTTTTCTGACATACATTTAACAGTCCAGTGGTGTTGAGGTAAACAAGATAATCACAGGACACCTGTGGAATATTGTAAATATTGTATATTTGATAAAAGGTGAAATTAAATCACATGGGGTCAGGTTGAGGTAGATTTAGGGGTTTGGGCAGAGAGTGGGAGTGATAAGTGCAGGATATTATACAACCAGGTATTAGTTTATAAAAGATATGTTGTGGTCTAACAGCCATTACTACAATCTGATTCAAATACAGATTTTTTATACTTTCGATGGCCTCTACTACATGAAGATCTGACTAGCATTAGTGGAAGGATGCGGCAGGGGGTCATACAAGCAGCATTTGACCCGATCACGTCAGACATTTAATTAACCAATCAGCATTAATGTTTCTAGTGAATTACCCACATTTCCGTGTACCTCACACCAAAAACTCGCCATAAAAGTCTGTTTCATTGGCTAATCCCTCATATCATGCAGATCCTTCTAGTGTAGTAAAGACAAGTAAAACAAAATTTTGAACTATAAAAAACAAAACAAAATAGGATCTGTACTATATTGGATACCATTTCCCCTACTTTTGTTTATAAGAATTTCAAATTGGTGACCATATCAAAGAAAATCTGGGAGCCATGGTGGCTAAGTGAGTAAGACATTGGCTTGCTATCCTGGATGTCACGTGTTCGATCCCTTCACTGTCAGTGGTGCAGGACGGAGGGCCTGACAAGAACAGCTGTCTAGTCATTTGGATGGTACAAAAAACCCAGGTCCTGTGTATACATTGGCGTGCACATAAATGATCCCTTGACAGTTGGAATTCGATATAAGAGTAGACCATAGTGCTGATGCCCGAGGAAAATTTCCATCATAGCACACTGAATGGCGTATGCCCGTCTTCATTAGCCCAGTAGGGGCAGAACAGTAGGATGTTAAACCCCATTTCATTTTATTTCATTTCAAAGAAAGTCTGATTTTGATAATGTAAAAGAAATGTTTTTTTTAACGTCCTTCTGTTCTGCACTGACTGGGCTAATGAAGACGGGCATACCGTGTACTATGTGGGTGAGTTTGCCCAACAACAGAGCTACAGTCTACTCTTATATCAATGGTTATAGTAGCAATGATCCATTGACAGCAATCTACTTATCGGTATATTGATAGTAAATGGAAAATCAAGTAACTTCACTGGCGTGTGCGTTGGAATGTCCACAAATCAATCCAGAATGAACTGCTAAGCTTAACACAGAAGAAACAAACAATACGTATACATAATCTCAAACAGTGAAATAAAGTGAAAGTATTGATGTAAATAGTAAAAGTATTGTAGTTAAAGATGTATTTTATGAATGGAACAGGTGCTTGTTATATATTGTAATATACACCATATGTTATATATTTAACTCCTGCTATATACATGTATATTACATATGTTTACTACATTATTGGATACAATCCCCCATTCATTTCCTTACATACACACTCACACAACTAACCAACCTTCTTCTTCCTGTCAACACTTGTCCACTGTTCAAACTGTTAATTGACCACACTTATATTAAATTCAATGGTATTTTATTCTCACTTTCATTAGATCATTACAATACATGTTTTTGCTTCGATTTACAGAAGACTTGTGCACGCTTTACCATGACAACTAGATCTACGGCTGCACACACACACACACATCTCATTACTATTCATATATTCAAAGGTCATGAATATTCATGTTTACAAAACCCCTAACATAGATCTAGAAGTTTATGTAAATTTGGGGCTAGCTAATATCATATTTTCATTTCCATAATTCACTTGGAGTGTAAGGGTCTTAAGCAGTGGGTTGAAACAGGAAGACTCTGATAAAAAAACCCTAGAAGGTTAGACACCCTACTCCTTGTTGTGCACAGCAGCCCTCTTTTCTCAAAACAGACAGTAAGAACCAAAGAATGTGAAACGTAATATCATTCGGTGACGAGGAGTAGGGTTGCCCGTCCAACCCAGTGGTTTTCCCCCCCGAGTCCCACTGCTAAAGACCCCTAGTGAATTAATGAAACAAAATTGAACCATGTGTTAGTCCCGAAATGACCTAGTCTGTGTCGAGTAGACGTTAAACCCTATTTCTCTCTCTCTTTGATGTGGAGTGATAGTGATCCTACATGATTGACATCTGCATTGGGTGTGGTTGATTCAGAAGAAAAATGTGTCAGTAAGGAAAAAAAAAGTATCAAATTTGACTGTGAATTTTGAATGTGTGAAGACTTTAATTGAGTCAAGACAAGTAATTGAAAAGATAAACGATAAATTGGTTTATATTTAGACTTGACTTTATCTCCCAGGCTATAAATAAACAAAACACCTTTCATCTTGAACTCACTGGTAAATAACTCTATTTAATCTCAGGTCAAAGGTCATGACATGTAAATATTTTGAGTTAAATGTATAAAAAGTGTAGTAGAGGGACTATTTTATTCAATGCTTCCTTCATTCAAGTCCTAATTTGTATACTCTAAATAGGAGATGACCTAGAAAAAATTGAAACATATGGTTTCTTGGTACCAGGGAGCCACGATGGCTAAGTGGGTAAGACGCTGGCTCGCTAGCCTGAAGGTCTCGTGTTTGATCCCTGTTTTGGCCGAGAAAGTTCATCAGGATTTTTCGACGTGGTTTCCCCTTTTGAGTGGTACAGGAAGGAGGGCCTGACAAGGACGACTGTCTAGTTGTTTGGATTGAAGTATACATTGGCGTGCACGTAAAAGATCCCTTGGCAGTTGGAATTGAATATAAGAGTAGGCCATAGTGCTGCTGTCGGGGCAAAATTTAACTCAATAGCACACCGTACGGATTATGGCTGTCTTCATTAGCCCAGTTGTGGCAGAACAGTAGGATGTTAAACCCCATTTCATTTCTTTTCTTGGTACCATTTTGTTCATGGGATCATCCGTTACAACGCATCGAAAGTTTTCTGATTTTTGGGCTGAGGAAAGGGCCTAATTTGCATCAATTAAAAATGGGTGCCAAACATACCCCTGCAAGTCAGAATATCTGGTCACAAATATCATAAACCCAGAATTTAGTCACAAATATCAGAAGTCAACCTCATTTGGCCGAATGGTTAATGTGTTGAATCAGAAGGTCTGTCATTGAGTCAACTGGCGTGGTTTCGATTTCCTGCTTGTATGTGACAAGGAGTAGGGTCGCCTGTCCAATCTCGTTAGTTTTCTCCGGGTCCTCCGATTTCTTCCCACTGCTAAAGACCCTTATGCGCAAGCGAATTAATAAAATTTAATTGAGCCATATATTGGTCCCGAAATGAACTAGTTTGTGATGAGTGGAAGTTAAACCCCATCTTTCCGATAATTGCTGCCAGAGTTATGGCCCTTGATCACTTTGAAAAATCTTGTGGATGCTCTAAAGGCTAAAGTTAATATCCGATTGACTTTAAATTTATACACACTGTTTGAGGTCATGAGATTAGAAGCCTATTGATTTCCAACTTGATAATTACTGCCTTAGTTATGGCCCTTGATCACCTTGAAAAATCTTGTGGAGCCCAAGAGACAAACAATTGAAATAAATTTTAATGACTTCTAATAATTACTTAATGGGTTATTACTCGTCAGATTTTCATGTGTTCATTAGTGACAAAAGAAAATATATGCGACAACCCTTGTTGACTGCCTGGGCGACTTAGTTGCTGTGGGTGTATGTTTAGTTGCCTGACAATCTTTGTGTATGCATCTATATCAGAAATTACCCCAATATCTACTTTAAGGCGATATTGAAAAACTGCAATAGATATGAACAATTAAATCATTTGACTGGAAGACAATTACAACAAAATATTAAAGTAAATTAATTATCGCAAATGTCTTACATGGTTAGCTTCCTTCTGTTTGTCATTTATGAAACAGGAGATATGAACAATTCAATTATTTGCATGGATGACAGGCACACATTTCTGAAATAAATAGATTATTGTGAAAATCATATACCAAGTAGTCTTCAGTTCTCTCCGTTAAAACGTAAAAAAATGAAACTATTAAATTGATTTAGTCATCAAATAAATCGAGTGGTTTGATTGGTCATGTTTTCATATTTCAAAGAATCATCGAGTGATTTGATTGGTCACGTTTTCATATTTCAAAGAATCACAGAAAACATGAATATGTAACCCAGCCTGACCCTTCAAATTTTTTGCTGTGATTTTCTTTAAATTCCAACACTGAAATTTTGGTAATACTTTTATTTACATTACTTAGTTATTAAGCTGGAGGGTGCTGCCATAAATATTTGACTTGAGGGAGGGAGGGGGCTTGGAATGGAGAGGGGGAAACTATCTTCTCTAAGTTATTGACCAGGGGCATTATTCAAGAAAACTATAAAGGGCATTATAGGAGATTAGATAAAGAGCTGACAGTTCTCGCTATACTAGTTAAAAAAAAAAAAACCGTTAAAAGAATATGTTGAAAATTTAAGTCAAATTGCTTAACTCTCAGCTGAGATATTAGCGATTGAATTTTAGGCCTAGCCTCGATCATCATTACTAAAGTTGGTACGATAAAAAAAAATCAAAAAATCTTGATTATCCATTTTGACGTTAAATCATCCTTCACAAAATGTATTCAAATCTAGTATATATCGCAGGCTAGCTATAGCCTAGAGCGTTGATTATGGTCTTGGTAAGTTAATTAATTTCTAAATAATAATTTAGATAACATTTCAGACTTAAAAAAAAGACCTGCAATAGGCAGATGTAGCTCTTGCATAATTCATTTTTAATAAAAGATGTATTAACCCAAGACCTGGGGCAGGGCACTCCACATGTTCTGGGCCCTGTTTCCCGAAATCTTAACTAAAGATAAAATCCAAATTTTAGTAGATACTTCAATTTTGATTGACTAAGCACTAAAATCAATCTAATATTATCCAATCAAATGACTAAAATTTGGATTTTATCTTAGTTAAACATACATTATGCAAGAGCTAAATCTGATTATTGCAAGTCTTAATTTAGGCTTCAGATGTTATAGAAATTATAAATTAGATCTTTATTTAAACAAGACCAAAATCAACTCTGTAGACCCACGGATGGCTCGGCTACAGCTCGGATTTAAATAGGATTTCACTAATTGATTAAATCGAATAAAGGGTAACCTGATGAAAATACGTCAGTTAGATCGAGGCTAAATGATAGAGTGTACTTAGCGAGGCCGCTGTAAAGCGTTTCGGTATGCCTTTGAAAACTTTACTTGATAATCGAGATATGTAGGTGGAGTTAACACCTGTCAATCAAACTATCAGCGAAGGTGAAGACACAATTTGCTACCATTTCAAGTCAAATATTACAACGATGATAACTATGTTCAGAATAAAGTAATTTGACTGAATTTTTCAATATATTCTTCTTTCATCATCTACTTTTGAACTGTTATAGCAAGAATGGCCAACTCTCTATAAAAATCTCCCATAATGTATCTTTAAATTTTCGTGAAACGGGGCCCCAGGTCATTTTATGCCAAGAGCATTGTGTACACATGTTTTGATGATGTAATCATGACTGTACTATTTCTTGCCACCATTAGTTAAATCATGATGTAATCTGTTGGTTTTCTCCTCCAACTTGTCTTAATCTGCTAAACTCATTCTTTCTCCCACCTTTGACATTTGACTAGAAGAAAAAAAGGGGGATTTCCAAGATTTTGTATAGTAGTCTAATTATAGTTTTCTGTGTGTGTGCTGTTGGATAAAAAGCATGTGCTAATGATAAAGTAGTTTAGATGAACTATTGAAGATGTTGAGAGACCACCTGCAGTGTTTTTACAGCTTTTCTAATACAAGTGGGTGGAGCCTAACTTCATACAACCAATCAATGTCTGTCTTCTGTAACAATGTTTGTATGTGTTCAAGTCATTCATTCATTCAGGGCTTTTGATCTATATATTTCAACTCACTTCACTGAAGTCTGGCCAGTAATTTGCACTCTCTGACTCTATTGACAAATAATCTATTTGCCTTCTGGTTTACCTTAAGTCCTAACCTTGAATTGTCTAGTCTTTCAAGTCCTGGTCAATCAGCCAATAATGGTCATAGGTGTTTTTATATGTTATTAGATGGTCTGGTTAATCAAGTAGTATTATAATCACTGACTGAGTATGTAATAGTGGTTCTATTAATAGATGAAGTAGTAAATTATACCATTATTTATATTTTATAGTAAACTCTTGCCAAACTATCAGATTATAAAATACCACATGGTCTTCATGTAAACAGCGTTACTTTAAACACATTACATAACAATTCTGTTATTAATTTATATAAAACACAACCTCAACCAGTCTTTGCTTCTAGTTGGGGCAGAATGGTTTTAATGTGTGTGCTTTGTGTCATAAGGTCTGTCATTGAGTCAAGTGGCATGGTTTTGATTCCTTGCTTGTATGTGGCAAGAAATAGGATCACCTGTCCAACCTTGTGGGTTTCCTCCGGGTTCTCTGGTTTTCTCCCGGTTTTCTGGTTTCCTTCCACTGCTAAAGACCCCTACGTGCAAGCGAATTATTGAAATGAAATTGAACTATATGTTAGTCCCAAAATGACCTAGTTTGTGTCAAAGGGATGTTTGACAACATCTCTCTCTCTCTCTGCAGCTTATTAAAACATCTATAAACTTTGATTTTTAGTGGTATTTAGTAACTGGGTAGGATAATAAACTATAACACATACTTATGGAAAACAGCCACTTACTTATTTAGGCGACGAAGAGTATTCTCTCAATATATATGACCAATCATTGTTATAGTATTTAGTTGTACCACGGATAAATTAAGTGTGGTATAATGGTTGAGAGCGAGACATTAAGTAATATATTGAAACAACACAAGGGACTATGGCCCTCGTGTAGTTTCAACATATAATTATGCAATGTCTTGCGCTCAAGACCATTAAACAACTTAAGACACTTACACATGCTTTGCAATGAAATACGTCACTCGGGTCCAAAATTTCAACTAGTTACACTTGGCACATTGCCCATACCATTATTTGAAATAATGGTACTCCAACATCAAAGGATGCCGTCGCATCTGTATTTTAAAGATATTTAATCCCCGCAACAAAATTGTGGTCTTGAGAGACGTGATAGAAAAACTTTAGTCACTTAGAGATCAGAGAAGGTTAAAGAGCCTTTGACATTTAATAATTAAAATAAGAGTAGATTGTAGAGCAGCTGCTGTCCAGTGTCAACTACCTGATATCATTCTGCACACAGGATCCATCTACTTCATACTAGGAGTTAGATCTCTGCCCTTAAGCGCTATATCATAAGGCCTTTCATTGAGTCAACTGGCCTTGTTTCGAATTCCCTGTTGTACGTGACAAGGAGTAGGGTCGTCTGTCCAACCTCACAAGTTTTCTCCAGGTTCTCCCACTGCTAAAGGCCCCTACGCGCAAGTGAATTATTGAAATAAAATTGAACCATATGTTAGTCCCGAAATGACCTAGTTTGTCTCGAGTGGACGTTAAACCCCATTTCTTTCTCTCTCGCTGTCTGCCCTTAATGACCACCATATCTAACAATTAGTATACCGTGGTTCACATCTTTTATACACATGACTAATTAAACCTTTTCAATTTCATTAAATGCAAACAGAATAAATACTTCTCAAAAGTCTCAAAGGATTTAAAATGCTCATCAACTAGCTTAGTGTCTGTGCTCAAGCGGAGCTAATTGTAGACAGACGACGTAAGTTTTGTATGTAACTGACATAATCCCAGCTTCAATAGTCTCCTGTTGGTAAAGAAAAGTAAACCTCATTTCTTATCTCCTTTGTTATTGCACCTCAGGGGATTTCTCTGGGACCTCTGGTTTCCTTCTACTTAAAACCCCTAGTGAAATAAACTTATACCATATGGTAGTTCCAAAATGACCTAATTTGTGTCAAGTGAACATTAAACTCTGTTTCTCTCTCTTTAATAGTTTATCAACAATTTAAATGGTTGATGTATTTTTAACAATATAATTATATTCGTTAATCATAGTTCAAGGGGACATTACTCTCATGACAATTGAAATGATTAATGTATATTTAATAAGATCATATTCATTCATCATATTAACAAGGTTTTATGTGTACCAATAACCCAGTAATTGACTTGATTTATTATTAATTGAATGAATAGAATGAAAAACCCACTCATTGACATAATCAATTACTTGTATAATTAACAAACAGGTTTATAATAGGGTAATCCCCTAAACTATAAATAGATTTGTAATTGATGTTATTTATAAGTTTCCATGTATTAAACTGTGTTAAAAATATGTAAGTCAGTTTTCTTAAAGTCTTTTAATCTTTTGCAAATTTGGATCAATGGTGGGTCAGTGAGTAGGAATTGGCACGCTTACCTTGATTTCCCTTGTGCTATCCCAGCGTTGACCGAGAAATTCATGGGAATTTTCCAGCGTGATTCCCCCTTTCTCAGTGGTGAAGGTCACAGCGCTTGGTGAGAGACTACATATAGTCGTTTGGACGCTACGAAAAACCAACGTCCTGCGTGCATGTAAAAGATCCCATGGCGGTTGGAATAACATGTAAGAGAAGGCTTTAGTGACGCTCTCTGGACCCCCTTCGCAACTGCTGATACATACAGCCAATAGAAATATTCATTAGACTAATACAGAGTTTTGGAGACCCGCTCGTTTTTTTGAGTTTTATGTTTGTGGTACCCACCATTGTGACTTTTGAAGCCCATTTGTATTGTGTAAAAATTGTATTTTCTGATTTTTTATGATTCGGAATAATAAGCTTATGGATATATGTTATTATTTTTTCTTTCAGGAAACCATCCTGGCAGTCCAATGCCCCCTCGACCTCCATCAGGTCAGATAGATGGTCAAGGTCGTTTAAGTCAATCTCCAATGGCAACTCAAGGTTAGAAAATTAATTCACAACTAATTCAAAAAGATTGTATTAACTGAAGATATAATGATTTACATCTGTCATGAACACTAATACAAGGACAGCTGTCTAGTCATTCGGATGGGACGAAAAACCGAAGACCTGTGTATACATTGGCGTTGCACGTAAAAGAAATAAGAGTAGGCCATAGTGCCGCTGCCTGGGCAAAATTTCCCTCATAGCACACTGTATGGTGTATGCCCGTCTTTATTAGCCCAGTCGGAGCAGAACAGTAGGACGTTAAACCCCATTTCATTTCCTAGTACTTTATTAATTCAAACTGAGGTCCGGATGTGTACAGTTTTGGCATTCCAATTTGACAGTTTCAATTTGACGAAGAGTAAACCCTAACTTGGCTGCTTTTTTCCTGTTTCTCCAGTTTCTGACACAACTTGAGGATATAAAAACTAAGGGGGATATCCGGCTTCACCAGGGGCCCAGATTGAACCGAATCATGGCCTAAAACATTCCCCGGGTCAAACTGACGAACATAAACTTTGATTTTACTTTTAGATTAAAGGGGCATTATGTAAGATTTTGATAAAGAGCTGGTCGTTCGTACCATAATATTCCAAAAATAGATAATACAAAATGAATATTTAAAAAATTTCATTCAAATTACTTAATTTTGAGCAAAGTTATCATTGTTTGTAGTTTTGACAAGATGTGTGCATTGATTGTAAGTACTGTCTTAGCCTCGGCTCTACATCTACTTAAAAATCAAAGGCATCTGATAGCATCAAGAGTTGGTTATGGTCTTGTCATGTTAATAAATGTCTAAATAATAATTTTTATATCAATTAAGGCCCAAAGTAAGATATGTAGGCACATTTAGCTCTTACATAATGCCTGTTTAATACTAAAATTGTTTTGTCGGTCTGTTCATTATCCACAATTGGTTCTGGACTCTCTAGTGGCTAAAGTTAATATCCTGATGACTTTAAATTTATACACCGTTTAAGGTCATGAGATGCAGAAGATTTCCAATAATTACTGCCAGAGTTGTGGCCCTTGATCATGTTAAAAAATCTTGTGAATGCTCTAGAGGCTAAAGAAATCTCTCGATTGTATTGAAATTTTTACAGTGTTTATATTTATGAGATAAAGAAAGTTATTGATTTTCAAAAATTCCTTATAATTGAAACCTGACTTGCTGCCCTTTTCACTTTGAAAACTCTTGTGGATTACTTGGGTGACTTTGCTGCTGTGGGTGTAGTTTTCGTTGCTTAGCAACCAATCTATAGGGGTCGGACATAGATAGGCATTTTGCTTGTTCCCCCGATTTCCCATTCATATGTAGTGAATAAAATATCTCTAGAAAAAAACAAAAAAGAACTTCAATCTTTAACAGATTCAATATTGGTATTTCAGGTTTTAATCAGCAGATTATGCCCCCTCCTATTGGCCCCAATCAGGGAGCTTATCCATCTGGTCCGGGAAGTAAGATGGCGGGTGGTGGTCATATGCCTGGACATTATCCCCCATATAACTCACAATATCCGCCTGGAAATCAAGGTTGGTACTCTTTTAATGTTGATTGTATATTTAAAGTCCAGGGTCGCCTTATTCAAAACCTTTTAAACTAAAATATTTTGTCTAAATAAATTCGGCATGGTTGAGAGGTTAAAATTCTAGTATAAATTTTAGGTTTTAACCAAGGAAAAGGGATCATTCTTAAGTTATGGCAAACTGTTTGACAGTAATGAACCTGAAATTTTAAATTTTATGCGTGGTATGTGGTTTGCCCTTGTCAGTGGTGCAAGACGGGAGGGTCTGACAAGGACAGCTGTCTAGTTGTTCGGAAGTTACGGAAAACCAAGGACCATGTATACATTAGTGTGCCCGTAAAAGATCCCTTGACAGCTGGAATTCGATATAAGAGTAGACAATAGTGCCACTGCCCGGGCAAAATTTCCCTCAAGGGAAAAAGAGAAACACCAGAGGGAATGTGTCTGACAAAGCTGGAATGTGTTCTGTTCATTATAGGTGACAGGTGTTTATTTCAATGTTTGGATTTGTGAAACTTGTCGAGAGATTTTAATTCATGAATTACCTAAGGTTTAAAAAGAAATGAAAGCATTAATCAAATTGTTATATGAAAACCATGGATTTTGAAAACATTTTTAATATGTTATCAATTGAAGTTGTAGGACAAAGGGAAATAACTCTAACTGCTGAATTGCACTATTAATATTGATATAGAAATAAAGAATAGAAGATCAAAAAAAACTTATACCAAGAAAATATGAAATAATTTTGATTTAAATAATTATGATTTTTAGCTGATTTAAAAAAAAGTATGAATTAATTAAATCCAGGTCAATCAAACTTTGTGGGTTTTCTCTGGGTCCCCTGGTTTCCTCCCACTGCTAAAGAAATAAAGACCTATACACTCAAATGTATCATTGAAATAAAATCAAACCATATGATAGTCCCGAAATGACCTAGTTTGTGTTGGTTGACTGAAAGTTTAACCTTCTTCCATTTATTTATATCTTGGTCAAATCTTGATAAGGAATTGGAGGGTTGGATGGCCGAATGGTTAGCACGTGCTCACTGTATCATAAGGTCTGTCATTGAGTCAACTGGTGTGGTTTCAATTTCCCTGGTTGTACGTGACAAGGAGTAGGGTCGCCTGTCCAACCTCGTGGGTTTTCTCTGGGTCCTCCGGTTTCCTCCCACTGCTAAAGACCCCTACGCACAAACGAATTATTGAAATATTATTAAACCATATGTTTGTGTTTGTGTAAAGTGGACATTAAACCCCATTTCTCTTTCTCTCTCTGATTAGGAATTATTAAATTTTATACGACGACTTAACGTGAACCATTGTTTCAGAGCACTGGTTGTTGTTTTTAGGACTTCATTTATTTATTTTGAGATCAATTTTGTTGTTTGATCAGACGAGAAAGTCCCATTACAATTCCCCCGATTCTTGATGTCGTCAATATTGACATAGTTATTTAAGGTCAATATTGTGTGAGGTCGTAATCTCCCATAGTTAACCCTAACTTCACCTATATTTAGGTTTTATATTATCGATATTTTGGTGTATGATACTCGAGAAATATAAGGGAATGTTTAGAGATACATGTAGGAAGGGGTTTTTAGGTTTTGGGTGTTGTGTTATATGATAAATTAATTTAATATTTAAATTTTATATTATCGATATTTCTTGGTCTGGTACTCTAGAAATGTATGGGAAAGTTTAGAGATGCATGTAGGGATAGGTTTTTAGGTTTTGGGTGTTGTCATCATATGATAATTGGGGATCAAGTGGCTAAGTGGGTAAGACGCTAGCTCGCTAGCCTGGAAGTCGGGTGTTCGATCCCTGCATTGGCCGAGAAAGTTCATCCAGATTTTCCGGCGTGGTTCTCCCTTGTCAGTGATGCAGGACGGAGGGGCTGACAAGGAAAGCTGTCTAGTCGTTCGGATGGGATGAAAAACCGAGGTCCCGTGTACACATTGGCGTGCACGTAAAAGATCCCTTGGCAGTTGGAATTCGATATAAGAGTAGGCGATAGTGCCGCTGCCCGGGCAAAATTTCCCTCATAGCACACTGTATGGCGTATGCCCGTCTTCATTAGCCCAGGTTAGGAGCAGAACAGTAGGACGTTAAACTCCATTTCATTTCATTTCATTTATCATATGATAATTAATTTAATTTTTTATGGGGAGTGGTGTGGGTAAGGGAGGAAAATATTTAATTTTTGCGTTTGTATGTTTTAGGGGTTGGGTTTACTTCTTGACTTGGAATTTGTCTTCTATGAGCCTTGATATCAGACCTGACAATATTCATTGTGTCAGCGGGTTTGTCTTACGAGTGTTTGTATGTGGTGCAGTCCTCCTGCATTTACTAATTTGATTATGACTAACATTTCCAATACTGCTGTTGTTTTGTGACAGGCATATATTATAGATGCATTATTCAGGAGCTAAATCTGCCTATTGCTGGTCCATTTAATATTTAAAAATTATTAATTAGACATTTATTAACCTGACACAACCATAATCAACTCTCAACGCCATTGGATGCTAGAGATTTTAACTAGATTAGAAGGGTTTGGCTATTTATGGATTCAATTTAAAAATGGTGAAGCGAGCCGAAGACCTGAATATACTAGTACCATGGTTTCTATAATAAACAACCAATGCAATGATAACTTGGCCCAGAATAAAGTAATTTGAATAAAATTTTCAATATACTTTCGTTTTGAGTTATCTAAGTTTGAACTATTATACCAAGAACGACCAACTGAAGGGGGGTTGGATGGCCGAATGGTTAGCACGCGCGCGCTGTATCATACAGTCTGTCATTCAGTCAACTGGTTGTACGTGGCAAGGAGTAGGGTCGCCTGTCAAACCTTGTGGGTTTTCTCCAGGTCCTCCGGTTTCCTCCCACTGCTAAAGACCCCTATGTGCAAGCAAATTATTGAAATAAAATTAAACCATGTGTTAGTCCTGAAATGACCTAGTTTGTGTCGAGCGGACGTTAAACCCCATTTTTCTCTCTCTTTATCTGAATCTTACATAATGCATCTTTAATAATAAAACTGATAAAAGACAAATCTGTGCGAGCCACAGTGGCTCAGTAAGACATGTAGCTCACCTGGAGGTCCTGTGTACAAGCTCTGTGCTGGCTGAGAAAGTTCATTGAGATTTTGCCGTGTGGGCATTGATCTGTTCATTCTTATGTAAGTCCTGGAGCCAGTTTCATGAAAATCCAACTAAGATAAAATCCAAATTTTAGTAATTTGATTGGATAATATTAGATTGATTTTAGTGCTTAGCCAATCAAAATTGAAGTATCTACTAAAATTTGGAATTTATCTTTAGTTAAGATTTCATGAAACAGGGGCCTGTTTGTAAATTTATTTTTATGTGCCAGGAAATGTGTTAAATATTTTTTTTTCTTTTTTTAATAATTTCAGGTAATTTTGGAAGAAATCCGAACATGCCAGGCATACAGAACACAAGTGGAGGGGGGATGCCGAATTACCCGCAAAATATTTACAACGGTCCGAATCACATGGGTGGGGGTGCTGGTGGTAACCCAATGTATAACAATATGCCACGCCCATCGATGCCCAATGCTAATTATAATAATGTTTATGGACAGGGTAACATGGGAATGAGCATGCCCAATCAATATGGTGTCTATAACAATATGGGCCCTAATGGTCCCGGACCTATTAGACCCGCCATGAATAATATGCCGATAACAGATTCCTCCGCGTCGTCGAAAAGTGCAAACGCGGCTGCTGTAGCAGCTCAACAGGCCATGATAGCTGCTGCAAATAGCGCGGGCAATCTACGCCCAGGCTTAAATCAATCGCGTATGTATAATTCACCTACTATGAATAATTCTGGCCCGATTGGTCAGCTTAATCACATGACTGTTGGACTTGGTGCGCCCCCTATGAACAATGTGCCGAACAATATGAACCAACAACCTAACAACTCGAATATAGTGTCTAATTCCGCCTCTCAAAATAGTGCCACTAATGCGTCGTCGACGCCAAAAGACAGTCAAGCAAAACTGAACACACAACCGGTTATAAGTGCATCAACGACGAGCCCAGGTGGGGCCAATAGCTCAAATTCACAAGATTCTACATCCAATCAGAACTCATCAGACAATAGTGGAACAACAAATTGTGTTAACCAATGGGAGAGTAGCTCTGATCCGTCTAAAAAATTATCCAATATAAACAGTGATAGCGATAAAAACATTAAACCTGTGCCTAGTAGTGATATAGCTGGACAAGATGCGCCTGCTAAAACACCCGTGCCCAGTGAAACTAGTCAAACACTGCCCCCTAGTGGCGAAACAGATCAGATGTCCAATTCTTCAGACTCCATGCCTGCTAATCCCAGTAAGTATTTGTTTTGTTTGTGGCGCTGCAGTCTGGGTTATGTTTGTGGCTCTGGGATTCGGGTTTGTGGCTCTGGAGTCAGGGTTTGGTTTGTGGCTCTGTGGTTCGGGTTATCTTTGTGGGTCTGGGTTGTGTTTGTGGGTCTGGGTTGTGTTTGTGGCTCTGGGGTTTGTTTGTGGCCTTGGGTTTCGGGTTTTGTTTGTGGGTCTGGGATCTGGGTTTTGTTTGTGGGTCTGTGTTAGGAGGCTCAGTTGCTGAAAACTCTTGAGGTGTAAATTGTAAGGTTTCTCCCTGATGCTGGAGGAATGGGTTAACGTGTGCTCTGGATTATAAAGCTTGTCATTAAGTCAAGTGTTGTGGTTACGATTGCCCGCTTGTACATGACATTAGTAGGTTCGTCTGTCTGGCTAGTCGTTCGGATGGGACAATAAAGCGAGGTCCTGTGTATATATTGGCATGCACGTAAAAGCTCCCTTGACAGTTGGAATTCGATATAAGAGTAGGCTGTAGTGCCGATGTTCAGGCAAAATTTCCCTCATAGCACACTGTATGACGTATGCCCCTCTTCATTAGCCCAGTTCGGAGTAGGACGTTAAACCCAATTTCATTTTGTCTGTCAGTTCCTCCAGCTTCCCGCCATATGTTATTTTCGAAACGACCTAGTTTGTGTCGATTGGAAGTTAAACCACATTTCTCTCACTAATGAGGAGATCTTAGTTGATATCATGGGGTTGGCCAAAATAGTATCTCAGGATTTTACTTTGTGGTTTCTCCATGTCGGTGCTGCAGGACGGGTGGATGGGGCAAGAAACAGTGTCGAGTCATTTGCATGAACATAACCTCTGATAAGTGGAATTTGACCAGACGAAAGTTTCCATCGTAAATTGCTGCCAAATTGTTCTGAAATATCCGAATTAGTTTTCTTGACATTTAAACCATTTTACTCTCTTGGATTTATTTTATAGACTCGACAGCAGTAACCCAATCAATTACAGCTCCCATTGTTACACAAGGAATGAATAATCAGTCGAATATATCCCAGAATCCACAGGAACATCCGCCGAACATGCCCGGAATGAACTGTGTTCCCGTACCAACGTTTCCTGATGAACCACCAGAGAAAAAGAAAAAGGTTTGATACTTTTCGTGTTTTTATTGTCATTAAAATTTTCTTTATATAAAAAAAAACAACAAAAAAATAGAAGTAAAATGATATAGAATCCACTTTTAAAAAAAAAACACCCCCCCCCCCCTCAATTTTAACTATGCGATTTTCTCAAATACCTAAGTGATATTGATGTTCTTGTCAGCAGTATTTTGTGCTGAAAATATTTCTATTTGAAGAATTCCCGCTTAGGGTTAATTCAGTTGCCATTATCATAGATTATTGCAGAATTTATTTATTAATTCTCGTGGAAATATTCCCATTTCTGATCATTTAAATGAGCACTGTCATTACAAAAATGAAATGAAATGGAGTTTAACGTCCTACTGCTCTGACTAGGCTTATGAAGACAGCATAACATATTATATAATTTATTCTTTGATTTTTTTTTTTTTAAAAGTGGATTTTAATCAGCTGACTAAGAAATTGATTTATTAGAATATTTTACATGATGATCGATACACGGTTCCATATTTGTAACGCAACAAGTTGTATTTCTCGCAGATTTATTTACTTCATTTCTCATCCAATCAAATTTAAATTAGATCTTTGTTTCGTTTCTGTTTTATCATTTCATTGACGTAGACGTAAAAAGCTAGTGATATTGACCCTTTCTTAAAATCTTGCCGTAAAAAGATAGTAATCGTTCACCCTTGCCTAAAGTCACTTGAAATTCATCGACTTGGACCACAGCCCTTGCCGTAAAAAGATAGCGAACATTTGCCCTTGCTTAAACTCGCTTGAAATTCATTGACTTAGACCACAGTCCTTGCCGTAAAAAGATAGTAATCATTTGCCCTTGCCTAAAATGGCTTCAAATTCATCAACTTAGAACGCAGTCCTTGCTGTGATAGTGATCATTTTCCCTTGCCTAAAATGGCTTCAAATTCAACGACTTCGAACACACTCCTTGCCGTAGAAAAGATTATGATCACTTGTCCTTGCCTAAAATTTATTCGGACAAATCATTGACTAAACTCACTAGAAATTTATTTCCAAATAGATATGGAAAATTTATTGATTTTGAAGAGGCACAGTGCCTACTAGGATCATTTAAATTGAATCTAAAGGTTCGAACAGTATTCGAATTATAACTAATAAGAATATTTTTGGTACTAAAATCTGTATTTGATGTGACCCCGGTACAGAATAGCATCTAGTATTTTGGATGGGACAAAAAACCTACATCCCTGAACACATGTTAGCATGCATGTATGCCAATCTTCATTAGTGGGGTTTGGGGTATCGTGTTTAACTTGTGCGTGCAAAATCACAAGGTCTGTCAATGAGTCAAGTGGGGTGGTTTTGAAGCCCCGCTCGTACGTGACAAGGAGTAGAGTCTGTCCAACCTCGTGGTTTTTCTCCGGGTCCTCCAAATTTCTCTCATATGTTAGTCCCGAAATAACCTTTTTGTGGCCCCATCTTCATTAGCCCTGTTATTTTAGAAATGCAAGACGTTAAAACCCCTTTTCAGGCATTTGAATGGTAGGATAGTAAAAATAATAGAAAAATGAAAGTAGGATCTAACTTGAATGAGATATTTATATAAGGATACTGTGAAAATCACGACTTATTAGCTACAAATATGGTTGTTAGGCCTAACCAATTGGAATTTTTATTCTTCAGGAATAACTTTTCTTTCTATTTTACTTGGAAAAAAAAAAAAAAAAAGCACTACTCAAGTTCGATCACCATGACAACTGGCATGCTCGTTTCTTGAACAAATTGCGCATCAATTGATAAACTAAGATTTCAGATGACGTCACAATTCCAAGATGACAGTGATGATGTCATCCTCGAGTTCATGGTCCATAAAGTACCTGATAAATTTCGAAATTTTTTTGACTGAGACTTGTGTGGCCTGATATGATGTCACAATTCCAAGATGGCAGCAATGATGTCATTCTTGGTAGTTGTTAATTTTTGAGATTCAAACCAATATGTTGTTGACAAGACTCGGGTGGCTATCTGTGTATTTATGAAAACCCCTGAAGAATTAAAAAGTTTGAATTGGTTTGTCCTAGTGATTGTGTATTTAAATATAGAAAGATCCAAGTGTTGGAACTAGATGATAGATTGGAATGATATATTTTTATTTTTATTTTGATATATGATCTATCTGTTGTTTTAAACATTAGTAGCCTTTTAGAATGTTCAATAATTTTATCAAATTCCAAATTTTGAGTTTTTGATTGACTTATGTGCCGTTAGAAAGCCTAATTTTATCTACCTTCCTCCATTGATTTTCGTTTTATGTCCTTCATTCTTACATTCGAGAAAAAAACCTTACGAGGCCAGGATAAAAATATGCAGTCTAGCGAGGGGGGGGGGACAATTTACCATGCAAGAATTGGTGATTTGTAACGATACACAAATCAGTACACAGATTAATTTGAGTGAACTGCTAACCAATTTTAGAATAATTGCTCCTCTAAACGGAAGTATGAAGCAAAGCTTTGCTTTTACAAATAGATTGATTATTTTTCGTTCAGTCATTCAATGCGTGTTGACTGTTCGGCTTAAATAACAGCAATAGAAGATGAACTTTCTAAAAGAAGCGTATTTGAGATATTAAAAGGCAGAAACACAGCAATGATAAAAATGAAATTAATTATGAATTTGTTTATTTTATTTTAATTGATAATACATTTAAGAGAATACAATTGTTAAAAGAAAACAATATTTAGAGAACGAAAAAGGGTCTGACTTATAGCGCTGTTTGTTTTTTAAGGAATGTGGGTACTCATCGCCCGCGGGTTCGATGGCCCATTCACCTGGTAGTGTGAGTATTGCGTCGTATGACGAATATGACATAAGCAGCCCGGGAGTATCGGGCGCAGCCGTAAGTCCTTCAGTCAGTCAGACCATATTTGTACTGTTCAAAAAGTTTTCAAATATGCCTTTTGTCGATTTTTTGTCCTTTCTTTTCCTGCTCAATTCACCCTTATTAGGCAAAAAGAGTTTTTTTTTTTGGTGTAGGAATACGATTGGGTCAAGAGGTCAAACTGGATTTTTGAGAAATGGAGAAAAGCTTTTGATATATTTATTATACATATTTTTTTTTTTTTTTTCTGCATGCTTTTTAATATGAATTATTGTCATGTAATTATTAACATTTAGATTTGGAACTAAAAAAGTTTATAACATAAATAATTATTTAGCTGAAAAGAAAAATATTTTATTAGTAATTTGTAGTCTTATTTTTGCCATATTTAATTTTATGTCCTTATTTTGGACAGTCTGAAACCCAAAATTAGATATTTTATTTTTAATTAAGATTTGAGATCAAATACATTTAAGAATTAAAAGTTATCAAATTTAAGATATAAAGAAAAAAAATAATTAATTGAATATTCAAATTTTAAAAGTGTTGCGATATTCGTGGTCGTGTTGTTTAGATGTAATTGTAGTTCATTATTGTCATGTTCAATGATGTTATCCACTGCAGTTTTCTCAATAGCTTTCTCAAACATCCAGTATTTTACATGACCTTGTTCAGACCTTGACCCCTTGTTCTGGTGTCGACTTACCCTTTACTCCTGGTGGCGAGGTAACGAGTCCTGACCCGTTAAAATTTTTTTATTTATACACACATATATATATATTTACTTCCTAACGACTCCTGGTTTTGGTTGATTGCCATTGACTAATCGGTAACAAAAATTATCCAATGATCATCGAGTTTACTTACAGCTATTTACAATAATTCCTAACCTTCCTTCATGTTGATTGGTTGGGAGTTTCTGCATGTCGTCTGTCCGTGCACTGACGATATCATCTACATAAAGTATTCGTAACTTTTGCACATTTATTTTTATTTCGATTTTTTTTTTTTTTTTTTTGAAATTTGTTTCCCCTTTCCTAGTCCACATCCCCTTCCTCCTCTTTGTTTGGATGGTCAATTATTATTATTATTTATTTTACGATACCATTTATGTTATATTAGTACATTTGTTCTGTTCATGGTTTCAATATTTAAGCTTCAAGTACTGTATATGTTTGTTTTTTGATTTTGTTTTATTATTTTCTCGTACTGTTTTGAAAACTGCCTCAAAATGACTCCACGACAGTCCAAAACCAATTTCTCAAACATTTTAAAAGCAATGATATATTCCGTATTTCAAAGAATACTGCTTTCTCATTGGCTGAGTTTTTGAGAACCTTTATTACGTTTTGTTTATTAGCCAATGAAAGACAGTATATTTAAAATATCTTTGTTAAATTTTTTGAGGAATTGTAAGGATTAATTTATCAAAATCTTGCTTCCATTTATAATTTTAACATTTTTGAAAAAAAAAAATTTTATTTTAAATTTTTTGATGTCATTGATTAGTCTACTAACCATTATCAATATTTTTTGCTTTAAAAGTGTAGACGCTTTTTACAAGTCATTTTGAGTCTGTTTGATCAAGGCTACGTTAAATTTCTGAAAAGGTTTTTTTTTTGCGTTACAAGTTTCTAGATCTTTGTTTTGTTTGATATATCTGCATGTTGTATCTTGTTCAATGAAGAAAAAAAACGAGAAGAAAAGTATTGAAATTTTAAATTTTATGTGATTAAAAATTGTACATCAATTAATTAATAAATTAGCTTATTTAGGTCAATCATTTAATTAATCTAATCATGGCTAATATCCTCACGCTCACCAACCATGTAATAATTAAATCCATTGTCATGTTATAATATTAGACCAAGAAAAAAACAACAAATCCCTGTGTTTACGGTTACTTAATCCCCTTCCAAAATAGGGTCGGTCAGATTTTTTTGGGTTTTGGGGGGATGTATTGACTAGCATTGCCGTGTAAGGTTCTTGAAAAAAAAATACCGAAATTTTCATGTTGTAATTTGTCCAGAGAAAACCATGCCAAGACCAAGTTATAGGGGTTTGAGAATTAGAATTTTAAGGTATCTGATTTCGGCTGAAAACACTCGGGTCGATTAGGTAACCATACACACAGATATGTTTGGGATACAACCTATTGTTGAACATTTTTAACAATTTGAATATAGCAATAACTCAGTATTTCACAATTTCCAAATTTAATTGTAATATTATTTATTATTTCTTGATGTTTTGAGAACAGATTGTATAAATAAACGGAAGTATTAATTAAAAAGGTTTATAGTAAATAATTTTAATAGAAGTTTAAGTCTCGTTTATTTTTTGATTTTGACGTCCATGAAACATAATCAGGTATTTAATCCATTCTCTTCGTTTTATTTGTTGACAGAAATCTGGTACGATAGATTTAAGTAAACTTTATGAAATGGGTCCGGAACCAGATCGTAAGTTGATGATTGACAAGCTGTTGATGTTTAACGAGGAGAAAGGAACGCCGATAACGTCGATGCCAGCGATCAGTAAACAGCCCCTAGATTTATATAGGTTATATCATTGTGTTAAAGAAAGAGGCGGAATGACAGAGGTAAGTCGATTAATCAGGGTCTGGACATCCGTGGGAGGTTGATGACCAAATGGTGCAATGCATGCATGGTTTTCGATTCCCTGGTGTAACTCGTGCATGGTTTTCGATTCCCTGCTTGTATGTGACAAGTAAGGGGGTTGGATGACTATATGATAGGGTCTGTCATTGAGTCAACTGGTGTGGTTTTGATTCCCCGTTGTACGTGACAAGGAGTAGGGTTGCTTGTCCAACCTGGTGGGTTTTCTTCGGGTCCTCTGGTTTCCTTTCACTACTAAAGACCCCTACGAGCAAGCAAAATATTGTAACATTTTAATTTATATTTCAGGTGAATAAAACAAAGAAATGGAAAGAAATTTGTACAATTGTAAATATTGGATCGTCTGCCAGTGCTGCTTTTACTTTGAAGAAAAATTATATTAAATATTTATTTGCGTTTGAATGTCATTTTGATCGTGGTGGAATGGACCCACAACCCATTCTTGCTCAAATGGAGGCAGCTTTAGCTCAGAAACGTGAACAGAAAAATAAACGTGCTCCTTCCCCAGGTGAGTGTCCGTCCCTTCTAGATGATATTTGATTGGTTCTGATTTCTCTTCGATAAATGCAGGGTTGTATGGCCGAATGGTTAGCGTGTTCGCGCTGTATCATAAGATCTGTTATTGAGTCAACTGGCGTGGTTTCGTTTCTCGAGTTGTACGTGACAAGGAGTAGGTTCCAACCTTGTGGATTTTCTCCGAGTCCTCCGGTTTCTTCCCACTACTAGAGACCCCTACGTGCAATAAAATTATTGAAATGAAATTGAACCATGTTTGTCCCAAAATGACCCAGTTTGTTTCGAGTGGACGTTATCCCCCCCTCTCTCTCTTTTCGATAATAATTCACTAACGAAGTAGTCTACAAGGCCTTGCTACGTAATATTGAACACAGGAATTGAGAGGATGGATCTAGAGTAAATATAACAAATACAATTGTACTTTGGAACCAAGCATGACATGGCTGCCATCTTGGATATGTGACATATTAAAATTTTTGGGGGTTGGGTGGTCCAGTGGGTTAATGTGTGTCATCAAGTGGCATGGTGTCGATCCTCCACTTGTACATGATGCGGAGTAGAGTTACCTGTCCAACCTTGTTGGTTTTCTCAGGGTACTCCAGTTTCCTCTCATTGAATGTCAAATTTCATGTTGATCGTACTTGGAATTGAAAGAGCAATGGGAATTATAAAACAAAATGAGTAGCACTCTGGGCCCAGTTACTGTCCCAAATATATTGTAATAAATGTCCATTAGTCTCGATTAATTACTAGATATGGCCGTTGATTTTAAAAGATTTTTGTTCTTCTCTTTTTCAGCTGGATCCCAAGGTTCGTCTCAGGATGCTTTCCGTCCTTCGAGTACCCCGAACAGTCAAGGTCTGGATCCATTTTCTCCAGGACCCGGAGGTATGGCGGGGCACTACATGCAAAACGATGGTAGCATGAACCCAATGGGTGGAATGCCACATGGTGGAATGATGAACCCAATGAATCCTCACATGATGCCGCCCGGTCACATGGGCGGAATGCCTCACCATGGAATGATGTCGGGCTCCAATATGATGGGCGGAATGGGTCCAAATTCCATGATGGGTCACGGAGGAAACATGCCACCAAATTCCATGATGGGACCCGGGAATATGATGAGGTCCAACAACATGATGTCTGGCAACATGGGTCCTGGAAACATGCCGAATTCTATGGGCCCTGGAAATATGCCGAATTCGATGGGTCCGGGAGGTATGCCCAATTCTATGAGTGGACACAATTCAATGAGTGGAAATATGCCTAATGCCATGGGTGGACCAAATGCGATGGGCCCAGGAAATATGCAGAACTCAATGGGTGGAAATATGCCAAACTCGATGGGTGGAAGTATGCCGAATTCCATGGGCCATGGAAATATGCCCAACTCCATGGGCCCTGGAAATATGCCAAATTCAATGGGAGGCAATATGCCCAACTCTATGGGCCCTGGAAATATCCCCAATTCCATGAGTGGCCCAAACCCTATGATGGGAAATATGCCTAATTCAATGGGCCCTGGAAACATGCCCAATTCTATTGGTGGAAATAATATATCCTTTGGCGGACAAGGACCCAATTCAGGACACATGGGCCCCATGATGGGAGGAAATTTACCACATTCCATGGGTGGAAACATGCCCAACACATCAATGCCAGGCAATATGTCCAACAGCTCGATGCCAGGAAACCATCCGAACAGCTCGATGCCTGGTAACCATCCAAACAGTTCAATGCCTGGTAACCATCCAAACAGTTCAATGCCTGGTAACCATCCAAACAGTTCGATGCCTGGTAACCATCCAAACAGCTCGATGCCTGGTAACCATCCAAACAGCTCGATGCCTGGTAACCATCCAAACAGTTCCATGCCTGGTAACCATCCAAGCAGCTCCATGCCTGGTAACCATCCAAACAGCTCCATGCCTGGTAACCATCCCAACAGCTCCATGCCTGGTAACCATCCCAACAGCTCCATGCCTGGTAACCATCCCAACAGCTCCATGCCTGGTAACCATCCCAACAGCTCCATGCCTGGTAACCATCCCAACAGCTCCATGCCTGGTAACCATCCCAACAGCTCCATGCCTGGTAACCATCCCAACAGCTCCATGCCTGGTAACCACCCAAACAGCTCGATGCCTGGTAACCACCCAAACAGTTCGATGCCTGGTAACCACCCAAACAGTTCGATGCCTGGTAACCACCCAAACAGTTCGATGTCTGGTAATATGCCTAACAGTTCGATGCCAAGCGGTATGCCCAGCGGTTTGATGCCAGGCAATCATCCAAGCAGCTCAATGTCAGGAAATATGCCGAACTCTATACCCGGACATATGTCAAATAGTTCAATGCCAGGGAATATGCCTAACAGTTCAATGTCGGGTTCGATGCCCATTAGTGGCATGCCAGGAAGCATGCCGAATAGCTCTATGGCTGGGAACATGCCTAATACATCTATGTCGGGAAATATGCCAACTAGTGGAATGCCAGGGAACATGCCCAACAGTGGAATGCCAGGCAATCCTCCGAATTCCTCAATGACGAGCAACATGCCCAACTCGACAATGGGAGGTAATGCATCCCCTACAGGAGTCATGTCACATATGAATGCAGCAACAACAATGACAACAAGTATGCCCAATGCTATGCCTGGAAATATCCCAAATACGTTGATGGGGACAGGTATGCCTTTCCAAATGGGAAGTCATGGACCCGTTACTTCTATGTCTGGAAACATGCCAAATTCAATGACAGCTCAAAGTGGTGAGGTGATGACAACAACTGCCACTTCGACGCCCATGACAGGAAATTCTGGCGGTACCATGACTGGAAGTATGCCTCACACATCGATGCCAAACAATAACATGCCAGGGAATGTTCCACCTAGCGCCATGGCAGGAAACAGGCACAACATCCCCATGAACGAGACTTCAAACAGCAGTTCATCAAATGATGCAGCTCGTCAGACTTCTCCTATGAGAAACAGCGCTACACCAAATTCCGAGGCAACTAATACGACATCAGCTGCTCCTACTCCATCAGTTTCTTCAGCTCCTACGATAGGTAACTCAGAAAGTGTCAGTGTCCAAGATCCCTTTGCAGACGATATGTCATCAAGTAGGACCAGTGTAGCCCCGTTTCCTAAAATGCCACCACAAGGGAATACTTTTATACCTCGTGGACCAGGTGGTCCAAACATACCACCATTTTCCAGCAGTAACGAAGGAATGCCACGACCACCAAACCAACCAGATGTAAACGACCCTTACGGGCGACCTGGCGTTAACATGGAAGGGTTTCCTCCAAATCGTGCTGGTGAATTTAACACACCAAATCAATATCCAGGACGACCTGCCAATCAATTTCCGTTTGGTCAGCAATTCGATAGACCAGAAAGGTAACATTATACTTTATTTTAATCTCTTACTTTTGCTGTTCCTCAAGTTTACAGAAAAAACACATTGAAATTTATGCCATCATTGTTTTTAGAGATTTTGGTAAACACCACATTTTAAGTTGTAAACACCACATATAATGTTGTAAACACCACATTTAAAGTTGTAAACACCACATTTAATGTTGTAAACACCACATTTAATGTTGTAAACACCACATTTAAGTTTTAAACACAACATTTGAAGTTGTAAACATCACATTGTTACTCAAGATATTGGTAAACCAGGGCTGCCCACGAATAAATTGATGGCGAGCAGATGACTGCTCACGCAAATTTAGGTTTGGGCGAGCAAGGCGAGCAATAAAAATTGCTCACGCAAAATGTTGTTTGAGTGAGCACACATTTTGTAACATTGTTTCAATTTAAAATCATAAGAAAATTGCTATTCCTGGCACAAAGTTTGCAGTAAACATGTGTGACCATCGCTTTCTGTTTTTGACAGTCATATGTACTCTTCTTTATTAAAACCAATTTCCGTATGGATTTCTTCACCCCACGAAATAAATGTGGATAGGGCAATCAGGTTGCCTTTGGCCATTATTACGCTTAGATTGAAAATTATACGACTGCACAATGGAATAAAAACCGAAGTTCTGATAAAATAGGAAATACCGATAAATATTAGTTTGAAACGTGTTCATTTAGCGTGAATGCCAAATGCCGGATGTAAACATTCTTTACTTTAGACTCGATTATCACGTGTTTGTTACTGGTGTTCGTAGGAAAACCAGTCATGACGTTCAGGTCTAAAGTGTATTTTTAGTAACACAAGTTGCGAGTAACTTTATTAGCCAATCAAATTCCAGGAGGAAATGCCGCGTGCAGCTGGGTGAATCTCAGTTTGACAGACGAATTTATGACGTTATTGACATTGTTGGGTTAGTTTCGGCAATAAACTTGTCAATATTTTGATTATTTTTACAGGGTTTTCTTAAAATTTTGCGCGAGCAACGAACCGCGTGGTTTGAGTCAACTGGCATGGTTTCGAATCCCCGGTTGTACGTGACAAGGAGTAGGGTCGCCTGTCCAATCTCGTGGGTTTTCTCCGGGTCCTCCAGTTTCCTCCCACTGCTAAAAAACCCTTGATCACTTTGAAAAATCTTGTGGACGCTCTAGAGGCCAAAGTTGATATCCAATTGACCTTAAATTTATACACAGTGTTTGAGGTCATGAGACGAAGAAGCCTATTGATTTTCAACGATTTCCTATAATTACTGCCAGAGTTATGGCCCTTGATCACTTCAAAAAATCTTGTGGACGCTCTAGAAGCGAAAGTTAATATTCGATTGACTTTAAATTTATACACAGTGTTTAAGGTCATTCGACGAAGAAGCCTATTGATTTTCAGCGATTTCCAATATTTGCTGCCAGAGTTATGGCCCTTGATCACTTTGAAAAATCTTGTGGATGCTCTAGAGGCCAAAGTTAATATCCGATTGACTTTCAATTTATACACAGTGTTTAAAGTCATGAGACGAAGAAGCCTATTGATTTTCAGCGATTTCCGATAATTACTGCCAGAGTTATGGCCCTTGATCACTTCAAAGAATCTTGTGGATGCTCTAGAGGCTAAAGTTAATATCCGATTGAGTTTAAATTTATACACAGTGTTTGAGGTCATGAGACGAAGATTTCTATTGATTTTCAACAATTTCCGATAATTACTGCCAAAGTTATGGCCCTTGATCACTTTGCAAAATCTTGTGATGCTCTAAAGGCTAAAGTTATAATCCGATTGACTTCAGATTGATACACAGAGTTTAAGCTCTTGAGACGAACAAGTATATTGATTTTCAATGAATTTTTATGACTTAAACAGTTAAATCCATGATATTAAAAGCTTTGCATACAAAACGTTAGCATGGGGCAAAACTTTATAAAAACCAAACAAATTCTAATAGTTTTCTGATAATTACTTCGTGAGTTGTTGCTCTTAATCAGATTTTAGTGTATTATAAATGTTTCATTACCGAAAAAAGTAAAAATATTCGACAACCCTTGTTGACTGTGGACGATTTAGTTGCTGTGGGCGTATATTTCGTTGCCTGGCAACCTATCTTTTTATTTTATTCTATATTAATTTATTTTCCTATTTGCAGGTTTAGTGAACCTTCCGCACCAAACACACCAAACCAATCCATGCGACCCACCGGACCCATGCCACAGACTCCTCAAAGTGCGTCATATGGAGGACGATATGGCAGTCAACCCATGCCAATAAGACCACCGGGACCCCAAGATCAATATGGCAGCACACCAGGTTTCCATGGAAACAACTATGGACCTCGACCAATGGGAAATCAGGAACAGTATGGAAGCTTCCAGGGAAATTATCCTAGTCCACGACCACCGATGTATGGAACGCCAAATAAACGATACCCAGACATGTCTGGTAAGTACCAAGGAATATTGTTCGCTAAAAGTATTATTTTTACGTTGATATTTGAAGTTGTGTAATGGCCATTATTACTTACTACTTTTACTTCAAGTAGAGTTGCATTTTAAAGATTTAGATTTCTCAATGATTGTAGTGATTATGGATAGTTGTTTTAAAGGTCATATTTCCCGATATTCTCATCAGGATGACCCGATTTTCTCATCAGGATGACCCGATATTCTCACTGTGATGGCCTGATATTCTCACTGTGATGGCCAGATATTCTCATTGTGATGGCCTGATATTCTCTCACTGTGATGGCCTGATATTCTCACTGTGATGACCCGATATTCTCACTGTGATGACCTGATGGTCTCATTGTGATGACCAGATATTCTCACTGTGATGGCCAGATATTCTCTCACTGTGATGGTCTGATATTCTCACTGTGATGACCCGATATTCTCACTGTGATGACCTGATGTTCTCACTGTGATGGCCTGATATTCTCACTGTGATGACCCGATATTCTCACTGTGATGACCTGATGTTCTCACTGTGATGACCAGATATTCTCACTGTGATGGCCTGATATTCTCACTGTGATGACCTGATATTCTCAGTGTGATGGCCTGATATTCTCAGTGTGATGGCCTGATATTCTCTCACGGTGATGGCCTGATATTCTCTCACTGTGATGGCCTGATGTTCTCACTGTGATGACCTGATATTCTCACTGTGATGACCTGATATTCTCACCATGGTTACCAGATATTCCCACAGTGATGACCTGATATTACAACTGTAATGACCAGATATTCAATTCACACAGGGACCTGGTATTCTCACTGTGATTACTCGATATTCCTGACATATATTCCTGCTATAATAAAATATCTGTAAAGTATTTTAAACTGGAATTTTTAAAAATGATATTTCATTAAAATGTAACTTTATCTTAAGTAAAAGTAGTAAATTAGTGTCAGACTTCTCTACACCAAGATCGACATACACCATCTGGTCTGCTAATGGGAAATATTGCTATGGTAGCAGCCAGTGGGATAATTGTGGTCCTGAGTAGACTTTCCCTGCCAGACTCTCAAAACTGCACATTTGCCATGAAAATAATGCTGGAATTTCTGGAGGTACTTTCTCAGTTGACACTGGGATCGAAACCCGGAACATCATACGAAGTGAGCTAGTGTCCACACCACACTCAATCAGCAAGCCTTTGCAACATTGACATTATAGATGGATTGTCCATTATGAAAAACATTGACATATTATAGATCAATTGTCCATTGACTAGTGTTGACATATTCTAGATCGATTGTCCATTGTCAACAACATTGACATATTCTAGATTGATTGTCCATTGACTAGTGTTGACATATTCTAGATCGATTGTCCATTGTCAACAACATTGACATATTATAGATCGATTGCCCATTGTCTATAGTGATGACATATTATAGATTGATTGTCCATTGACTAGTGTTGACATATTATAGATCGATTGCCTACAATAAAAGAAATATAAATTGTCAACTATTGAAAGGATTGAATTACGATTTTAGAACTACAATAGGTCCAGTTTGAGAATCGGTTTTCTTATGTATTATGCCAAAATATATCCTTAAAAAATAAAAAAAAAAGCCCCAAAAATAAACACGCAACCAACTTTTCTGTTTATGTTCTTTTTCAAAATGGTTTTTAAAATTTCTGGGGTTCGTACTCTTTTTGACAGTTTATAATCACACAATGTACGGTGATCGTTCAACGATGGGTCACATGACTTATCCATCTCACCAAGATGCATCAATGGGCTATCATGAAAGCCACATGTCTGGTAGGAACAAGTCATTTTAACATGTTTTAATTTAAATATCATATCTTACTATTTATATTTATATATCGTTGAGTGTTTTTTTTTAAAAAGTTATCATATATTCATCACTCTTTCTCTCTCTCTCTCTTACATATATATATATATATAATGTATACGTCTCTCTCTCTCTCCTTTACTAATGTATATATACAAACTGATGGTTGAACTTTGACCTTCATGTAACAGTTACCTCTGACCTTAAATGAACTTTTAACGTTGTCTCTTTAAGAGTAGGAATTATTTCTGATCCCGTCATCAACAGATTTAAGTTGTGGGACTTTGATTATCCACCTGTTTGCTATACATCTTTTCAAGGAACAAAATTTTTTATTTTCACACATACACAACCAATGAAGGGTCAAATATTAAGCTATGGGCAGACAAGCATTTTTTTTTTTTTTTTGCCTTATCACGAATGGGCACACGTAGCGATCGTCTTGCGAGCGTACGCCACTCTGCGAGTAAATTAAGTGGATCATGTGACTTGTAAAAACGTAAGATTCTTCTCCTTCGGTCAGACTCCATGCTTCGGCAGCCGAGGCCACCATTTTCAGATCATGTGATATCAATGATGTTTCCGATTGCCTGAACAATATACGCTAGACACGGGCAAATCGATTGCAGACGTAGAATATTCAGGCGTAAATATCTAACATTGTAGATACAGGCGATCGGTCGGGCGAATGATTTGCCAAGCAGGATCATCATTGGCGTGAACATTCACACTAGCAAATTTTTTCAAACAATTTTAAAAATCGGGGCGATCTGGCGAAAAGATATGCTCATCTGCCCTAGGTTTTACAAAAATATCATGCGTAAAATACGAAGCATAAAACTTTAATTTAAATTACAAATTACTGTGACAAGGTTTTCTTTTATATCGGCACTTAAAATGACTCGGTGTTCAAATTGAATGTTCAAATGTTGAAATAATCAATTCCTTGACTTTTAGAGGTTTTTCATCAGTTTGTAAAATACATTGCTTTATTGTATAACAAATTTAAAAACAAAAGTAGATGTGGAACAGAACCGTAACCTATTAATAACTTCATAACATTTAATTAACATTGTGAGGATGGATAAAGGGAGGTCCCATATTTTAACATTGTGAGGATGGATAAAGGGAGGTCACCCATTATAACCCATATTTTAACGTTGTGTGGCATCATGTTGTAATTGGAGTTAAAGATTAAATTATTACATGGGGTTATACTTATAGTATAATGGTTCTAATAAAACTAAAATAAACTACTAACCAATAAAAATGCCTTTTATTTTTTTATTATAAATTGTTTGGTAAATGTTTATAACAACTAGACAATATTATTGTCTAAAAGATATAAATATTGATTATTAATCAAAGTTTCCTAGTTTAAATATTGCCATAGTTACGATAGTAAATTAAAAAATTTGCCTTAGTATGCATAAAAAAACTGCCTTAGTGAAGAAGGAATTACTGTTTCAATTCCACGAATTTCGAGCCCTGAAATTGTGATGTGATTAAGTTGAATTTAATTTGTTTTGGTGAAGCGTCTTCTAAATTTAAAATTTTAGACTTATGTTGATAAAAAACGAAATGTTGAGTGTGGGTTATTCCTAGTGTTGTGAAGACCATTGGAACAAAATTTTGAACTATAAAAAAACAGAACGAAATAGGATCTGCGTTTTAATCAAATTGCTTTACAGTTATTTAATAACATTTTGTAACACGTCACGTTTCCAAGTTAATGAGAACTATACATGTATACTTGTCATTAACTTGAAAACGTGACCTTTATATATTACAAAATGCGGTTATTAAATAACAGAGAAGTAGTTATATCCAGATATACCTTGTGTTATGTTATCAATAGTTAACCGTATGTCTACATGTAGATGTCATTTAAATAAAATCGTATAAACGTAATTTTAGGCTTTATTTTCATCTAGGTTTAATTCATTTAAATTATATTAAAAAATAGTCATGTTATTATTCTTCATCTTTCTAAATGCTTATTTGTAGATGCTTCATTTCTAAGCACTTTAAAACGTTCGGTTGTATATTTATATTTAGGGGGGGTTGGATTCCTGAATGGTTAGCGTGCGCGCGCTGTATCATAAAGTCTGTCATTGAGTCAACTGGCGTGGTTTCGAATCCCCGGTTGTACGTGACAAGGAGTAGGGTCGCCTGTCTCGTGAGTTTTCTCCGGGTCCTCCGGTTTCCTCCCACTGCTAAAGACCCCTATGCGCAAGCGAATTATCGAAATAAAATTAAACCATATGTTAGTCCCGAAATGACCTAGTTTGTGTCGAGTGGACGTTAAACCCCATCTCTCTCTCTCTCTCTCTCTCTCTCTCTCTCTCTCTTTTATAGTTAGAATAATGTACCGGTAATGTTGAAAAGTTATTGGATGAAATAGTAATTTATTATTCTTGGTCTTTCAAAATGCTACTTTAACAGTGATCTATCTGTAAGCACTTACCCAACCTGGGTTTTCTCTGGGTCCTCTGGTTTCCTCCCACTGCTAAACACCCCTACGCACAAGCGAATTATTGAAATAAAATTGAACCATATGTTAGTCCCGAAATGACCTGGTTTGTGTCAAGTGGATGTTAAACCCCATCTCTCTCTCTTTTTTCTAACACTCTCCAAACAATAAGCTGTAAAAATAATAATATAGTGTTGAAAAGTAATTGAAAAAAATGTTAGGGAAATAAAAGGCCTTAGTAGAGATTGCTTTAGATTATTTTTTGTAACATTTAATAGAAATAGAATTTTATGAAGTATTTAGATAGAAGTTGAAGGATCATATCATTCCGATAAAAGTTAATCAGTTCTAGAGTGATCTTTTAAATTAAAGTAAAAACCATAGAGTCTGATGTGGTTCAACTTTCACGACATTTAATGAAACTGTAGAAGTGATTTTAGATAAAAGCTTTTTATTCATGTAGTATTTGAGTAATCTTTTAACGTAAATTCACTTAGTGTATGTATTCAGCATCGCAGTTGCACAATTAACTCCTTCTATGACCTTTGAACTTACTCAAAAAAACGTAAATTAAGATATTTTAACAATACTACTTGTTGCACAATTAACTCCTTCTATGACCTTTGAACTTACTCAAAAAAACGTAAATTAAGATATTTTAACAATACTACTTGTATTTTAATTGGTTGAGTTTACAAAATTCTGCTCGTGACCAATGAAATGAGTGTATTATTAAAATATCTTTAGTTATGTTTCATGCAGGACGGAGGCTAGTCATTCGGATGATACGAAAAACCGAGGTCCCGTGTACACATTGGAGTGCACGTAAAAGATCCATTGTCAGTTGGAATTCGAGATCAGAGTAGGCCGTAGTGCCGCTGTGCAGGCAAAATTTCCCTCATAGCACACTGTATGGTGACTGCCCGCCTTCATTAGCCCAGTCAGAGCAGAACAGTAGGACGTTAAACCCCATTTCATTTCATTTTGTTATGTTTCGAGACAGAGGTCTGCGGTCTAATACATGTATTAAGAATTAACTATGTTTTGGCCGAATGTATTTGAAAATAACTGTGCCTAAGCCTACGCATCACTCTATTTGCATAGTCCGTTATTTGTTGGTTCGTTCGTTCGTTCATCAGTAAATTTGACTTTGAACACATTTTGTCTTATCTATGCAGCTCTGTTAACTTGCGCTTTCGGTGATGTGTTATTTATAACAATAAAATCAGGTTATTAATGATTTAGTTTAAACAAAATATAAAATGAAACTAAATAAATCTATAATATTATTAAATTGTTGTTTAAATTTGTATTATTATATTTTAACTTGTTAATAATTTTAATTTACAAAATATTTTCTGAATTTTATTTTTTTTAATTTGAATCTTTTTAATGTATTTTAAATATTGTTTGCATGACCTGTAGTAATTGACAATTATTAATAATATTAACTTATTTTAAAATGAAATAAATCAAAGAAATTTTAAGATCAACAACAATTGATATTAAAAATCTAAAGTTTTAGCCTATGAATGAAAAACAGAAACGTACTATTTTTGTTTTTGATAAGAAAGAGTGAAAAAGCCTAATAACGAATAATGTCTCATTACATAGAGAGAAAAAAAAAATGAAGGAAAAAAAAAAAAATCAGTGAATGAAATAATTCAAATAAGAGTGATTTTGTTTCAGGACCCCAACGAGAGGGCAGTCAGTGGTCACCAATGAGATATCAACAGCATGGAGGATCCAATTATATGGGAAATATGCCGCCTGGCGCTCCTGGTACTCCACCTATGGGTCCGTATGGACAGCCAATGATGTCAAGGCAAGGTCATCCGAGAATGAAAGGTCTAAAGGTAGGTTTAGAAAATAGTAATTGCTTTTATTTTCAAATTAAATAAAAAAAATTTAAGAATAATGACACAGTCATGAAGCTTGTTTATTTGGGGAATGAATTTCGGTATGTAATTTTTGGGTGGTGTGAGGAGTGGGGGGGCAGAGAAGACCCTTGGAAGTTCTTCTAGCTCAGTTTTGGCTTCTCAGTATGCGTTCATCTTGCAGGATTCAGAGATTGGAAACAAGAAATAACCATGTGTTTGTCTCTATATCCAGAATATCGTGTTGATGAGACATTAATTAAACCATTCGATATTATTCTTCTCTTCGGTATGCGGGTTTGGGTGGCAGGATGGTTTATGATCAGAAGTTCTGTTATTAAGTCAACTGGCGTGGTTCCAATTCCCAGCTTGTACGTGACAAGGACTAGGGTCGCCGGTCCAACCTTGTAGGTTTTCTCTGGGTCCTCTGGTTTCCTCGACTGCTAAAGACCCCTACGCGCATGCGAATTATAGAAATAAAATTGAACTGTTATTTGCAAAATGACAAGAGATTGTGTGTAGTGGAGTTAAATCCTCTCGGTTTTTGAATGTAATTGTATAAGATTACCATTCAACAAGAAGAATTACTCTGGTGTATAATACAGAGCCCTGCGACATTACCTCCCTTGCATTGATCAGATTTTCGGGGAATTTGTTCAGAATAATAAACAGATTATTAATATCTATAGTTATTTTTTAGTTGCTAGTTTTGTAGAATTAAAGCTAGTGTAGAGGCTTGGTTAGTTTGTAGATTTAGAAATATAGTTATTTTCTTCAGTTTAATTTTAGAATTTAGAATAACAATTGTATATGAATATATATTGATTCTGAAACTAGTATTTTTGATGCATACTCTTCATTCTTCCAATAGAGCCGTGGTGTCAACCTTTTTGATTTACTCTTGGTTCCGTGGTATCCTCCCCTCGCTTCATTCCTCCCATGGAGGCACGGTGTCTAACTCTGTGATATCCTCCACACTCTTCAATCCTATAGAGCCATGGTGTCTAACCTCTTGGTTCTGTGATATGTTCCCTCTGTGATATGCTCCCTCTGTCAAAACTTGTCTATACATGTGAATTATTAAAAAAAGGATATGCCTTGTGTTAATCCCACCTCTCTCGCTCTCCATTCCGGTGTCCCATCAACCCGATTCTCTCTGTCCCCCTCTGTCTTTCTCTCCCACCCTGTCTGTGATCCTCCCTCTATCTCTTGGAATCTACATCTAGTTAATTATGTATTACAAGTTCCATGAATTGTCCTCCTCCCAATTCCATGGATCATCCCCACCCCCCTACCCTCTCCAATTGCCTTGTTTCTACCTAAATATATATCAACTACATGTATCTGGAGCTAGAAACCGCCCCCCCCCCCCTCTCCACTTTCCCACAATTTGATGGGTTATTAGTGTAGTGATGTTCCCTGACTATCTACAGCTAAAACAAACCGCTAAATATAAAAGATACCAATTCTTTGTATGCTAAAGTAGATTGCTTTAAGAATAACATCAGGGGGAGTTAACTGAACAGCAGAAGAAACTAACAGCTGTTACATATACTCCCTCTGATGATTGACAAAACGTTTCGATTTATTGTGCTCGGTAGCAAATAGTCTTGGTCACCCAGAACCTCCTGGTCTTCAACGTACTGAGGGTCTGGGACTGTTGTCAAAATTTGACAAAAAGTTCCATTGCCCATGCGTAACCAGAAGTTTGGTTTTTAATGTGGTTGATTATCCAGTATCTCTGGCAAAGTCAAGTAAGAGTTGAGCCCCTCCCACAATAAATCCCATAATTCTTGCAATAATATAAACAAACACCAATCGTGACGATGAATTAGGATTAATTTTAAAAAAACATATTTGACCCATGAACATGAAGAGAAATTTTACAATAAAAGAATTAGGCGTGTTGGATATTGAACAGGCAATGCAATCAAATGGTTTTTTTTGAAATAGCATTCTTAAATTAATTTCATGGGCTTCAACATCTTGTTTTAGGACTAGTTACCTCCCTTAGACTTTGTCTATGATAATGTAAAAGACTGGATAATCTAGCCAATGACCTATTCTCATATGTTGACAACACATCCAGACTAATATTTGTAGAATATTTATCTGGATGATAGAGACTAATAGATATGTAGTCTATTTGTTTAGAAGACATTTAGAATTTGATTTCTCTTTCTAATCAAAATATTGTATTTCAGAATTGATTTTATTTATTATAATTTCTGTATAATTTTCTCTCTGTTGTGTTTGAGATTATGCATCATATATATATATATATATATAAATTATAATTTGAATTTGTTTATTTTTTTTCTATCAAGTGAAACAGTCTGCTGCATTGTCTTTTACCAAGACATTTTTTAAAAAGTTCTTGTTTTCCTCCAAATCAAACAAAATATCATCAATGGTTTTAGTCAAAACCGCTTTTTAAATTCGATTTGGGAAAACACAAACTTTTTTTTATTTTTGTGTATGGCAGTGATTGAAAATGAGGCCTATTAGTAGGCCTGAATATATGGATTGATGCTATTAATAGATGCAGAGTAGTGTAGTTAGTCTAGAAGCTAGTTTCTAAACAAAGGTCTTTGGCTTTTTGGTTATCTTATCAGCTAGCCGTAGAATACCATTTATTTATTTATTTTTTTTACAACATAGATTTCTTAATTTATGGTGATCTTTTCTTTAGCTAGCTTTTGAATTGCGTTGTTTTTTATGGTGCTTTTTGCTGTTCTTTTGCAGCAGAAGGCCTTGTTACAACCATGTGTTAGTAATCAGTCTAGGAAAGAAATACCTTTTCCACCCGATACGATAGAAGGCGTCCAACCACCCCTTATCAAACGTCGTCGTCTAACCAGCAAAGACCTAGGTTAGTTCAAACAAAAATTACAAAAAAAAATAAAAAAAATAAAAATAACTGGGCTCAAAATTAACGTGGTTTGGTTACAAATTACTCCCCACTTGAAAGTAAAAATATTTGAAATTAAATTATTCTGTCAGTTTAATTATAGATTTGATATTTCGTGGGAAAATATTTTATACTTAGCAATTAAATTAAAAATTTATAATTTATTAGAATGGAAACTGATTTGTGATCAAACCTTTTAAATTCGAGCCCCTATTGACCTCGTTACATTTTCATTTCTCATTTTACAATTCTTCATTTTTCATCTTCTGTCATTAAATTGTCACAAAGTTGCTCAAATTAAAATTTCTGCCGTTTTTCGAACCACATAAGCTTTATGCTGCAAAGGACGGGCTTGTAAAAAGTAACTTGTATATATTTATTATTATTATTATTATTCATAATGTGAAAAAACAAATTTCCAGCTTTTCTATATATAGTATTTTTACAGAACTCAAGTTTTTTTTGTTTTTTTTTTGTTTTCTGTTTACTGGAGAAAAAAAAAGATCCAAAAAAAAAAAAAAAAAAAAAAAATTGAAATGAGATTTTTCATATTTTGTAGATTTTTATGTTTCAATTTTAGCAGCTGAATGTTGATTTATTTTTTGACTGCAGAAGTTTTGTAGAATTTTTATGAAATGAAATATTTTTTATCTATATATGGTTAACGTCTGTGATCGTTATTTGATGATGGAACTATGAATCTCTGAATATCGGTCCATAAATGGTTCAGTTCCTTTCAGTATTTACAAGATACGATGAATTAAAAATTGGTCGAAATTCACGGTCGACAATTTGGGTACAGTTGAGTCAGTAGAGACCAGTAGGGCCAATGTCCAAGCAACATTTCCCTCATAGAACACTGCATGGCTATTGTCCGTCTTCATTAGTCCAGGCAGGACAGAGGAGTTGACAGGACAACAGTCTAGTTAATCAGATGGGATGGAAAACCGAGCTCCCATGTACACATTGGCATGCACGTATAAGATCCCTTGACAGTTGGAATTCGATATAAGAGTAGGCTGTAGTGCTGCTGCCCAGGCAAAATTCCTCTCATAGCACAAGGTACGGTGTATGCTCCGTCTTCACTGGCCGAGTTGTAGAATTACAGTAGGACGTTAAACCCCATTATGTTTTTAAGACTCGATGCCCCAAATTTCCCTCGTAGAACACTGCCAGGTGTATCATGCCCATTTTCATTAACCCCAGATGGTGCAAACAACAAAGTAGGACGTTAAACCCCATTTCATTTCCCAGACTCGATATGCCCCAAACTTGATTTTGTGTGTAGAAAATAGTGTTTCTGTTTATAGATGGGTAGTGCCCCTGTAAGATCCTTAAGCAATTTAGGGTCGATAAATTAGGGTCAATGACGATAAAACTGTGTCCCCTAACACTAGTCTTAAAATACTGAATTAGATGTTTTATTGTGAAATGATTAGGCGTGCAGGTTAAAGATCTCTTGGTAGTTGGAATTCTACGAAATAGGTGGAAACACTATTGTTCAGATAAAGTTACCCTCGAAGCCCAGTGTATGCCCAGTTGGTGCAAAAAAGTAGTATATTAAACTCCCATTTCATTTAATTTCCTTAACTGTCCATTCCACAAGCTGCTAAATTTGTTGGGACTTACCGTAGGAAATAAGATTCTACAAATTTTCTGCACGACAAACGATCCACGGTCATCGTAAAACATAACCTCAGATGAGAAATAACTTATGTCTTTATTTCTTTTTTTAGGACCAATAGAAGCCTGGCGTCTTATGATGGCCCTGAAATCTGGATTATTAACAGAAAGCACCTGGGCTCTGGATACACTTAATATATTACTATTTGACGATTCAACCGTGTCTTATTTCAATTTGAGTCACTTGCCAGGATTACTAGATGTCCTCTTAGAACATTTCCGTAAATGTATTTTGGAAGTTTTTGCCGAACTCAAAGATACCGACAGTGTTGATGACGATGTTGGGGATTTCGAAATATCTCCAGAAGAATCGGAAAAGAAACTTGATTGTGAAAATTATACGTTGATAACGCGCGATGGAAAAGCTGTACACATTGAGGAAGAGTCGAAAGACGCGTGGATGGTCAAACCCAAAACTTGGGATAAGGATAATCAGGAGTTTCTGCCGACAGATCATTTCGCGTACGGAGCGGGAAACCTGAGTCATATCATTACAAAAATGGAGAGCGAAAAAACTAATTCCTTACTTAGCAAGTTGTTTTCCAAACATCTTGGAACGCATAAAGACAAACGAAAAGTGTTTACGAAGGACGTTGCTGTGTGCGAGGACGAAAACATTGTCAGCGATCACGAAGAGAAGATGGACACTTCGGAAATCTCCATGGATACAACATTATCTCCTATTAAACAGGAGGAGAATCCAACTGTGCGTAACGATTTTATTAAAATTGAAAAACAGGAGTGTGAAATGGAACATGGTGATTTGAAAGACCACGAAGAGCGTAAAACTGAAGTGGATGAACAAATCTTGAAGAAAGAGGAGATGGACGAGGATACAAAAAGCGAGAACAAAACGGAGGCGAAGGATAGCGAATCGAAGGATAGCGAGGCGAAGGATAGCGAGCCAATGGATAGCGAAGTGAAGGATAGCGAACCAATGGATAGCGAAGTGAAGGATAGCGAGCCGAAGGGTATTGAAGCGAAGGATGAGGTAAAGGATAGCGAGGCAAAGGATACTGAACAGAAAGTTAGCGACGCGAAAGATAGCGATAGCGAGGCAAAGGACAGTGAACTGAAAGTTAGCGATTCAGCGGATGACGAGTCGAAAATTAACAATGCGAAAGTTAGCGATTCGAAAGATAGCACCGACGAGAGTAAAAATGAGAACGGAACATCTGATGGTGATAAATCAGACAATTCAACGCTGCCGTTTGTCGAACTCGTAACTTACCCGAAAACGGAAATAGAAACAATGGGTGCATTAGCAATGATCAACAGGCCGCAAGCTGTTAGCGATTTGGAGGAGGAGTCTTACGAACATGACACGCCACCTTTGTACAACGTAGTCAACGCCCACGAGGAATTGGCCAGACGGTGTATATGTATTTCTAATATCTTCCGAAGCTTGTCTTGTATCCCCGGTAACGGTCTTGAACTTTCCCGCCACTCAGGTCTCATGAGCACCCTGGGTAAACTTTTACTGCTGCACCATAAACATCTACCTCGGTCTAAAAATCACCGTTTTGGCGACGAATGGGAATCAGATGACGCTGAGGAATCAGTAAAGGAAGGAGAGTGGTGGTGGTCTTGTTTAGACGCTTTACGCGAGAATACGCTAGTCATATTCGCTAATATTTGTGGAAAATTAAAACTCTCGGATTTTCCCGAACACATTTGCTTCCCTATATTAGACGGATTATTACACTGGGTAGTGTGTTCCTCGTCTTGTGCGCGCGACCCCATGCCGAACATGCCTCCTAATTCCGTCCTTTCGCCCCAGCGGCTTGTTTTAGAAGCTCTGTGTAAATTGTGTATACATGATGCCAACGTTGATCTGCTGTTGGCAACGCCTCCTTTCGAACGAATGGTAGATCTGTTTGAGACTCTCGTCAAATTATTAGCCAATCGTAAAGAACAGGTTACGCAGGAATTCGCCATAGTTTTATTGTCAGAATTGGTGACTGGTGACTCAAGTATTTCACGAGCGATTGCGCTACAGCATCAGTGCATTTCTCTTCTTGTAGACTTCTTAGAAACAGCTGAACAAAATGCTCACCAGGTGGCCAAGTCACAAGGTATCGTTGTTCTTCAGAATAACCCAGAGTCTATGGGTACGAGTTTAGACATGTTACGGCGTGCCGCCACGATTCTCGTACAGTTAGCTCGAGTGGAAGAGAACAGAACTCTGTTTGTGCATCAACAAAGTAGATTACTAGCGCTTGTGATGTCACAAATATTGGATCAGACCGTGGCGAAGATCCTTTCCGATGTTTTATTTGAATGTTCCCAACTTTCATAGCCGTTTCATCTCACTTTATTAATTATTGATAAAAAAAACTATTTTAACAAAAAAACAATTTCAGCGACTTTGTGTGAAGATCAAACTGAAAAAATATTTAAAGAATATGTGTACAATAGTCGAATTTTTACAAGGTGTGCGACGAAAAAATTATACGCAAGAATTTCTGTTATATATATATATATATATATATTCATGTATATATAAAGTGTGTTGTGGAGAATCTGGTAAAATGCATATCAATGTTCGTTTACAAATAACTAACGGGAAAAGACTAGTAAAATTGGAATGTAAACTTATATATCATGCCTATTTTTTTTCCCCGTAATCATTCATGGCTCATTGTTTATTAAAAAAAAAAATCTTCAACTTACACATGTTGGGTTAGTTGACGGATAATTAAACTTACATATGTAATCAATTGTTGTACATAATTTATATATATATTATCACTGATCGAATAAATGCTGCGTACAGTACAGTGATTATCTCCCTTTAATTCATCGTTTAAACTGCCTTTAATTATTCTATAACTTACATGTAAATAGTGAAAACAGAAAAAGACATTAAAATGATGAATATTCATAAGATCAATTTGTGAATTGACTGTTTATATATATATATATATATATATATATTATATATATATATATATATATAAATATATATTATAGCCAATCAGATTCAAATAATTTGAATATGAGCGAGACTTCCATTTTGTCGTGTAAAGTCATGTATATGTACATGTGAACATTCAGGTGCTGATTTCTGTTCTTTTTTTTTTAATAAGTTTTTTTTTTTTTGCCTCTCGTAAATACGTTATGGTGATTTTCTCTCTTTCCTCATTGTTGTAATATTAAAATCATGTCACCAGAAAATCAGTGATATAAATATATATATATATATATATACATACATATATATATACATTGTGATTGCCATTAAAAAAAAAAAAAATAATACAACGAAGTGTAGTGAAAATTTCTATGTTGTATTGCCATAGAGAGGGTAATGGCACAGCCAGTTATACAATGGGGAGGGTAATGGCACAGCAGTTATACAATGGGGAGGGTAATGGTACAGCACTGTACAATGAGTAGGGTAATGGCACAGCATTTGTACAATGGGGAGGGTAATGGCACAACAGTCATACAATGGGGAGGGCAGTGGCACAGCAGTCATACAATGGGGAGGGCAATGGCACAGCAGCCTTAAAATGGGGAGGGTAATGACACAGCGGTCATACAATGGAGAGGGTAATGGCACAGCAGTCAATTCAATAATTGTAATGGTATAGCAGTAATAAGATAGGAAGGAAAGTGGCACCAAATTTATACATTGGGGAGGGTAATGGTACAAGAGTTACACAATGGGAAGGGTAATGGCACAGCAGTAATGATATACTGGGGAGGAAAGTGGATACAAATGTTATACAATGTGGAGGGTAATGGCACAGCAGTCAATTCAACAGATTGCAATGGTACAGCAGTAATAAAATATGAAGGTGGCACGAAAACTATACAATGGGGAGGGTAATGGCACAGGAGTTCTACAATGTAGAGGGTAATGGCACAGCAGTTATACAATATATAAAAAATATCTGAATTTTCCAAATAAAAACATGGCAAGTCATAGACGGGATACAACCGCAGACACAGGCTAGTCATAGAAACATAGAATGACTCAAACTAAATAAAGAAAAACACAGCTATGAACGTACCAGTAGACCCCAGTGAATACTCAATTGGGATCAAGTGGCTTTTCGCATTTTCTTGGTGTGCCGTTCAAAATTTCGCGGCACACTGGTTGAGAATCACTGCAGTAATGCAATGTTGAAAGTTATACCGCGTTTGTAAGTTGTACATTGGAGAGGGTAATGACACACCGACCGAACAGGAAGCCATTTGAAAAGATAATGTTATAGCAGTAGTGCAACAGAGAGGCTAATGACATAACCTCTGGGATCATTCAATGGGGAGACCCAGTCAAATTATCTGCCCTTGATTGTAGCTTAATTCTACGAACCAATCAAAAATGTACCGTTAACAGAGAGCGAGATAGATGGGGTTTAACGTCCACTCGACACAAACTGGGTAATTTCGGGACTAAAACATGGTTCATATTTATTTCAATAATTTGCTTGGGCGTAGGGTTCTTTAGCAGTGGGAGGAATTATCAGGGAACAGAAATTCGCCCGTGTATCTCATTTTCTCTCACCCGTTACTTCAGTTAAAACTGAATATTTACCACCATTCCAACCCCCCTCTTCATTGCGCATCTATCGTAGCAATGATCTCTGTGTTAGAATAATATTTTGAACGTGTTGAACCAGTTCTATCACATATGTTACAATGACTGACACCAATATTGTCCTTTAATATAGAAATAACATGCGTGACAGCCAAGGGGAGGTAAATCCAATTTTTATGATTTTATAAATTTTACTAAAGTTTGAATTTATACATGTAGTCCGAATAATTTTGGAGCAGAGTAAGGCTGACAAAGGTACCCACCCCACACGGTCAAAAAGCCAAAATATTCCTTTATCAGTGAAAAGATTTACTGGTCTGATATTATTTATTTGGTCACAGCTCACCAAATATTTCTACGCCGTCACCCACGAATGTAGGGCAAAAGTTATTTTTAGTCTTTCTCTCCCTTTCCCTTTTTCCCCCTTTTGCATGGCGATTTTTGTTGATTTTTTGGTGTAGAATCGAAGAAAAGGGTTTGAAAATACATTTTCTTCCAGGTTTTGGTGAAGGATACAAGAGTTGAGAGGTTGGTTAGGTTGAAATGTAGGGCCTGAAATTGCATGTTTACTTGTCTCTACTTCCAGCTTGTGTATCTCAAGTTTTTCATGAAGAACCTCATACGTGCTTTTGGGCAAGTGGTTGCCACATGTTGCTCCATCTGTGGTAGAAATTTAAGCGTTCTACCCGACGAAAATTTGGGAAAAAGTTAGAGCCGGTCTAAGATACGAGAATTAACATTGGAGTCAATGGGGAAATCTTTAGTGATCTGGGGATCGCTAGCCTGGAGGTCGGGTGTTCGGTCCCTGCATTGGCCGAGAAAGTTCATCCAGATTTTCCGGCGTGGTTCTCCCTTGTCAGTGATGCAGGACGGAGGGGCTGACAAGGAAAGCTGTCTAGTCGTTCGGATGGGACGAAAAACCGAGGTCCCGTGTGCACATTGGCGTGCACGTAAAAGATCCCTTGGCAGTTGGAATTCGATATAAGAGTAGGCCGTAGTGCCGCTGTCCGGGCAAAATTTCCCTTATAGCACACTGTATGGCGTATGCCCGTCTTCATTAGCCCAGGTTAGGAGCAGAACAGTAGGACATTAAACCCCATTTCATTTCATTTCATTTCCTAAACTTGAGTTTGCCTATACTTGAGTCATGAGAGCATACTATCAAGGAGTTGGCCCAGGCATAACCAAATCTATGACTTAAACATGAAACTGGACGTACATGGCGAGTTAATGAGACCTACATTCAGAGCTCAATTTGATACTGATATATACCAGACCTATATAATATATATATATATATGTTTGTGAGCTCTCGATAAACACTGCCCTAATATCCCTAA